TCCTTCACTCCAGGTTTGACCTTTTTTTATTTTTCGGTTATTCATAGTCATTACATTTTATTTATTTTATATTTGGTTTTAACAGAATCCATTTTTAGAGCTGAAACATCAACAGGAAAGTAGCCTGCAGCTATTATGATACTTCATAAGTCGCTCTTTCAAGCGTGTGAAGAGTCTCAGAATTGAATGATGTGCAACTTTCCCCTAGTTTTATACTTCTGTAATCTGAATAAAAGCAAAGCAAGCAATTTGAAGATGCATCTTGGCTCATTGGAAATTTTGAATTATTGATTTAAAGTTTGTTTGATGTTTTTGTTTTGGATAAAAACATGAATTGATTATGCAAGAAACTTATCTGCAGATTAGTCAGTAATAAGAATAATCATCCTATTCGGGCGGTGAGTTAAATGAAATATCATGTGAACAGTCGAAGGAAAAAAAACAACTTCTTGATCAGAGTCTCTAGTAGAAAATTTCAACCAAAAAAACAAAAAGGGAATGATGCTCGACAACTACACGCCGTTTAGGTCTTTTTTTTTAGTGATGTTTTTCTGAAAATGTTTTCTGCTCTGTGCTTTTCTCAGTCACGCATAGTGCCACGCGTGGCCCCACGTTTACGACTTATTTAATACGACGCCTGTGTGTGTGTGTGTTTGTTTTTGCTACGTCTGTGACTCCTCGCTGGAATCCGATGGTAAAGCTCCTCCGTCGGCGGCGTTTGCCTCGAAGCATGAAAGCGGAGTTCACTGCGGAGTCTCGACAGGCACCGAGGGTATTTACTCGGCTTCCAAAACTTCCAACCCCCTATTTACTTTCATCTTGGCTTCCTCTTTGCCGCCTCCCACTCCGAGTATTATCCTTTCATCCTGCTTCCTCCCTTTAAAGTTGCAGTGCAAAAGCAGGAGTGGCTCAAAGAGATACTTTGCTTTTATTTTTATTTTTATTCTCCTTCTACTGCGTATTGCTCATTGTGTCCCAACGCCTCCCTCCCCACGGCCCGTTTGGACCCGTCCCCTCACCTTGTAACTGTATGTATGTTGCACAGTTTACTTCGCGGATGACAAATATGACTGAGGTTAACAGTGGCAGTATCATTATTTTTATTTTGTTAGGCAGTTCACGAATGGCTTAGGGTCCGTTAATGGGAGAGAAGGGAGATGACAATGGCTGAATAGCTGCACCTAATTTGGCCACAGAAAGGGAGCGACAAAGCCCCCCAAATATATGCAAAGCGCCACAAAATAACACGAGAATTTACTGTCTATATCCCTGAGCACTTGTGACAACCACAACACATCTCCCAGCACGTGATGCCTGCACACTGGAACCCTCATTGTTCCCTAAATTCGCTGTGGAAATTACCCTAATGTTTTGAGAGCTGGGAGCGGTTGGCGTGGCGCCGGAGCTTTACGAGAATATTCCACTAGTTTGTGGCTTTTTTGTTGCAGGCGGAATTAAAGCGCTGGGATCTTTGGCCCATGCATATTTCTTTGATTTGAGTAGGCAATAATAATTAATATAGAAACATTGTATTCCTTCATTGCAGCCCATAAAATGTCATTTTTTTGCTTTTTTCTCAGTTCTTTATGAATGTGTGATAGGAAGAATTTGACTTCCATTTCACATCATGAGTGTGTTTTCATTCAACCTTTGGTGTTGAACGACGTAGAAAAGCCTCAAAGTGACACAATGTGTTTTTTTTTCTCTCCCATCTTTTGAACAAAACTTTGAAATGATAATCTTTTTAGATAAATGGCTTCTCAACCACACTGGAAGACGTCCGGGGGGAGGGGGAAGCGGTCCGATTACCCTGCTGCTGCGCCGGCACTGAACTCCGAAATAACTACAGATATAATCTGATTTATAGAAAAGTTTGTGAGACCGGCGGTGAGAAGCGGCCTCATCTAACCAGTCGGCTTGGGCTCCAGAGGCAGGCGTCTCAATTAATCGAGCTCTTCACTTAGCAGACGTGGACATCTTGGAAGTCGCCCAGGGCATCAGATGGTCAGCGATGGCTGGCACCGCCGCCGCATCCACTCAGCCGGCCAATCGACTCCCCCGAGAGAGAGCGGCCGCGTTGCGACGGCCCGGCAGATGGGTCCCGGTCCCTCTCTCTACCCCGATCACGCTCGTGTCGCGTCGGGACGGCAGCGAGCGAGGAGGAGCTGTAATAATTAACGACCGAATATCAGTCGAGCCCTCCATAAAACAGACATTTCTGGCCTAATGTTCGGTGTGTGTGTGTGTTCGCAGGAGGGAGCCATAAAGCCGATGTCCGTGATTCATATGCGTGCTGTCAACCCGCTGCTTGAGAAAGGTCGAATTAATGGGACAATATGTATGAAAATGGCGCTTAGAGCCGCACATGAGCCGCCGTGAAGAGGAGCTGGAGTGCTGCTCGTTCTTTCCGCGCCCTCCATAACACGTCTTTTAAGAGGTTATTTCTATAACCATTTCCTAGCTTTGCTTCAGTGAAAATGACGCTTCTTTTTGAAAAGATCTTTATCAACCAGTCGGACATGGTCATGGTTTTGTTCCCTGCTGTTATTAATAATAATTTATACCATGGCTATAGAAGGGGAGTTGTGGTTAAATATACACGCGCCTTGTTTTTCACATGATGCTTGAGGTCTGCGTTCTCCACCAATGCTCTTCTATTTTACTTTTTGCCAACCCATGTATTTTTTTTTTTTCTTTCAACAAGACCAGACCAAGTAAAATACTGTTTTTAAAAGGCATTTTGAAATCTTCAGCTCTATTCTGGTTTTCTCCAGGACATCGCTGAGAGGATTTGCAAGTCAACAGTCGCTGACGCAGAGACTGCAGAGTTGGCGAAGAAAAAATGGGAAAGGATTAGCAGGGGAACGGGGGTCCGATTGACGTCGGCGTCCTGAGCAAAGGGAAGAATATATTGGTCACGCGACACAAGGCGGCGTGACATGAATAACCCGCTCAGCTAGATCCGACACATCCAGATGTGTTGCTTCTCATTATAGGTGTAGTTAACAGTCACCTCGCTCATTAAATACTGCACGCGGCCTTCGCTGTGTGATGTAGCGCCTCCTGATATCACACTGCGCCATCAACCTAAATGGAAGGACGGGTGTTTCTCTGATTTAGTCCATCCTCGTTGATTTGAACCAACCGAAATAATAAAAACTCCTGTCGGTATAAAATCTGAAAAGTGGAATTGTGGATTCAGAGAATCTTACCACCCATAAGATATTAGATTCCTATTCTTGACTATACACACGGATGCCTGTGCAGTTTCTCAATTTAGATTACTCTTCAAGCAACGCTGCAGACAGATGTTCACAGGGAAGAGATATCGAGACCCAAATGCTGCCGAGAGAATGCATAGATGGCAGGAGCGGTGCGGGATAAGCGGCAGGAATAATGAGCAGCTCCAGGCTGATGTTTACTCTCATTTTCTTCTTCCCGCCATCTGCCTGCACAACACCTGCTGGAAAAGCCTGGGAAAAAAACGCATCTGTGCGCCGGTACAGTGATCGGGGGGGTATTGATCTAGACTGCTGACATTTCTGCTTCCCTCTCACTCTGTCTGGGCACATCATGTGCATCCTTCAGAAGAAAGGCAGGTCACACGCACACACACATCCGCCTGATGTGCCACCAGAGCATAATCACGTGAGAAATATATTAATGATTTGGTTTCTCAGACCTTTTACAGTACAACTCGTATTCGCACATTGCAGCAACATCTGTTTGTCACATACCTTCAAATACATAATACGCTTCTTTCTTTGCTGATCTGATGACCGACAAATTCTGGAAATCTGATTTCTTGCAGATGTTGTAGTTACTTATTTATTTTAAGCAGCTGGGTGAACATGGGTGTAGTTTAATGAGGAGCCGGCAGCGTTTTAGGAAGGTGTTTACTCTGTAATCAAGAAATGGTAAAAAAAAATCAAAATCAAATGTTCTATATTGATCTGGGATTGCTTGCAAACAAAGGATGCTTGAGCCCATTTCACTTATTTCTGATTTGATTGCATTCTTTTAACCCTTAATTCTTGGCCATCACTCAGTCTATTTAATCTGAAGGGGGCAACGACTGCGCTGAATTCACAATATCTGATCTAAGTGCTCTGTCAATAAGCGCTTTTCATAAAACGGTCGATATTCTCTCTTCATGTGGCAATTTAGCACTTTCTTAGGTTTAATAGGCTGTTTCAACAGGGGCTGGAAACGCGTCGGCGAGATGAATCGCAGACCAAAGTACCCATGTCACTCTGAGAGCGTTTGCTCTGATAGATTGGTTGTACGTTAATGACCCAGCTGTCGAAAAGCCTACAGATTCATCACGGCCCCAATTACAATTATGTGTGTGTTTCCTGGTCTTAATTTATAGGGTATCCGTGTAAGAGTCTGCCGAGCAATGATTTAAGGGTGTAATTAGACGCAGTCAAAAACGGTTGATAACTTTTGTGAAGGAAACCAAAACTTTCATTGGAAAGCTGCTTCGTGCTTCAGGAGCGATTCGTCATAATTTACCTCGGGGGAAACATTCCAAACATCTCTTGTGGAGAGTTGAGATGCTCCGATCGCTGGTTCAAACCTGCTCATCAGCACTACGACCTGACTCTGAGCAGCATAAGCAGGTACTTTGAGTTGCTGCAGCTGAGTAGCACGTGTGCAAACGGGGCTTGAGTCGATGTGCCGAAGGAGCTCAAGCAAAGAAGGGAAGAAAGGTTCAAGAGGTTGTTAGCCTTTGGCTTTTAGACCTCTAACATGACGAATGGTGGGACTTGAATAATCAGTTTAAAGTCAAAAGCACAAATGATTACAACATGTACATGAACAAAAAACAAACAATGCTAATATCTATAAATATGTTCATGTGTGCAGGTGCATATTTTGACCAATGTATATTTACATCAAGCACCTACACCGGCTCTCTAACATGCCATTCGTACAAATCAGAGATGCAACTCAAAGCCACATTCATGGAATTCCACCGTCTCCCCTGTGGCGTGTAGGTGCTGAGGAACCCGCCAGCAGCAAGTACCTGAGGGGCGAGCTGCGGACCGGGGCGGTGGTGAATGTCGACGGGACGTCCAGCCGGTTGGCCCTTTCTCTGTGAATGGATTAGAGGTCAGTATCATCACGTCGGTCCTCCATTCGGGGTCGGTGTGCACGGAATATCTGCTCGTACAGGCAAATAGGAAAGTGATTCCTAATCAAAGGTTTACTGTGAGCGACCTAAAAGCAGCATAAACCCGTCGATTTGTGCTGCACTTTATACCATGGACAAATTAAACGTGTGTGCTGCTCTTACATCCACTGTGGAGGAAAAGAATATATATATATATATATATATTACCCATAAACCTCTGCATTCCTTCTCTTGTCATTTCTGAATTATCTTTGAAAGCAGAAGGAAAGACAAAGTTCTTTGAAATAACTAATTCATTAACTTTTATAACCGTGGCTTCATTAGGACACACACGCACGTACAACAGTGTTATAATCTCTGGATTGTGACACACACCATCTGATTTTATGCCTGGTGATCAGTGAGTGTATAATACTCACTATAATATTTGATTTTTGAATTCATCAACATCCAGAGCGAACACACTATTTAACTGGTTGTTTTCTTCCTAACACATTCTGGTAATTCTTGCACATCTTATTGTACAATTTGCCTGTCAATCATGTTACAAAACGTAATATTTGTAATTGCCTCTAATTTGGGTCATTTCGTGTTGTTTTATTAATAGCACCCAAAGGCATCCAGCCGCAGGCATCATGTCTACTTTGTTAAACCCCAAAAATACGAGATGTACCGTCATTAGAAACCAGTGACACCAACATGGTGCCCGGGGCTGAAAACAATAAATACACACACGGTGCATATTTTACAGACATTTTCCTTTTTAAAAAAATGGGTTATTGAGTCACTCATCTGCTCAGCTTGGCTAGTTCGATGCGCTTCAGTTGTTGTGCTCTTGCTCAAATGCAGAGTCCTTATTATAAAGATTCTAAAACGAAACGACCCAACGGGGCCACTTACTTCCTAACGGCGAGAGATTAACAGTCTTGGGCCACGCGTGTGCCTGATCTAGATCTGTTTCTGTGATGTCACGACCAGACAAAATAACCCCCCCCCCACCCACCCTCCTTCCACCCATAACAATGCAGAACAGTCTTGTTTACTTATTTTTTTCCCCTCTTGTCTCCTCTCCATTTGATTAGGACTTTGCTTAATCCCCCAGTAGGCCTCAGTTATAAGCTTTTTGGTAATGACCTGCTTAATCCTCCTACTGGAGAAAAAAAAACGCAGAGGCGCATTAACTTCAAAGCGGTTTACTCACTTCTGGGCTGCTGCTGCTGAACAAAGCTGTATTATTGAGCTCACATGTTGGTCTGTGACGAAGGTGTACATTTGTTAAGTGAGCATCCGCCACTCTTGGGACAGGTGGTCATGCTGAGAATAACCTTTTAGTTATTTCGTTGAACATTCTCCGACTCTAGTTCTAATTGGGATGATATTCTGGGTCTCGTTATAGAAAACTGAATATTTTGTTGCTTTGAGTTGCCGAGCAACAAAAACAAGAAATCACACGTGGCTTTTTACAACAAGACAAATCAAAAAGATGTGTTTATAATACGTTATTGCCGGGTGCATTTTTGGGGTCTCTATATTTGGAGACCGTTTAACACCTTTTTAGAACTGTATTTAAAAGGCCTGACATCTGAAGTGACTTTCGGTTGCACCTCTTTTAAAGGTTTGCTTGCAGCTCGACTCGAGCGTAAAAGTCCTTGACGTGTGACATCAGACAAGAGCTGGCTTTCACTCAAGCTTGTAACTTAGCAACCTTCACGAGACAACTTCTGATCATATTTTTGAATTCCTGTGACCCGTCTGTTGGAGCATTTTAATTAATCATGCCCGGGGGTTGTGGAGTGTAAACATAGCTGTGTGAAAAAGAGAGCCGTTTATATACCAGCCCTTCTTTCCAGGAGCTAATGTGTATAATGGCGCCCGAGTCAGGCCGTCGAAATAGAGATTTATAGTAACTTCACGCGCATACTAAACGGCCGTGGTGCAAGTTATTTTCTTTCCCCTCTGTCAGCTGTTGCCTTGAATTCATGCCGATGTCGACACAGTATGATACTCTGGCTCAGAAACCACACCAGACACACACACACACACACACACACACACAATCCCATCTCCACAGGAGCTAACATGCCTCACAGCTTCAGCATAAGCGGATAATTTACAGGCAGCCTCAGACCCGTACCTCACTCCACCAGCAGTGAAAATGTCAGGAGTTTAGTTGGGGCTACAACACCTGCGCCGCTCGCATGCACGGGGCCTCGCGTCCAATGGCTCCCCGAGGGGGGGCTCACCAGCACTCAGCTTTTATTGCTGTGATGACTGCTCATGATTTTTACGGCGGAAGACAGCGGGACCAGAAAAAGAACTCCATTCGCTCGCGCTGTAAGTGTTGTGCTTTGTGCAGCGGGCACCAAGTTCAGATGCCGGGAGGAGTTGGTGGATTTAACCAGGTCACAAATTCCCTTTTCGACATTTGATTTCATGAGAAAAGCCTAACTCCTTTCTCATAATTTAAACAAATACAACATTGCTAGTAACCATCCTTGCTACTGGGGATTTGTCGGATAAAGACCAGAATCAGAAGCCATTTATTGCCACATATGTTGCACATAATTTGCCTTGATGATTTGTGCAGTATCTGACTATAAAAATAATACACATGCAAAATTGAAGCAATTTAGACACCGTTTCTGTGATGAAAGGTCTTTGCCCTGATGGACCGCAGCCTCCTGCCAGAGGGAAGGGTTGCAAAAAGTCCAAAATGTGCCTCAGGAAGTAGGCCGTCTGCTGAGCCCAGGAAACCCTGGAAAGGGCCGTGTGCAGAGCGTTGAGCTCCAAGTTGTTTTGGCTGCACCACGTCAGCAGTTGGTCAACCTCCCACCTGTAAGCAGACTCATCCCCACCAGAGATGAGTCCGATGAGGGTGGTGTCATCCGCAAACTTCAGGAGTGACTGAAGTCACCAGTGACGCACTGATGACTGAAGGTGCAGCTGTTGGTGTACGGGGAGAAGAGCAGAGGGGAAGGAACGCCGCCTGTCGGCTCTGTAGACGAACTGGAGGGGGTCCAGAGGGGGTCGGTAAAGGTTTTAAGGTCCAAATGACAGTCCAAACATTTGTGTGTGCAGTTTTGCGCGGAACAGAATTAACACCCGTTGCTCACTCGCGGCATTTGATGAAGCGCCCAGAGATCCCCGATGTACAGTCAGTCCATCACGGCTGTGAGTCTGAAGCCCGATCTGCAGGAGCTGCAAATAAGCCGGCACGTGGGCGCCTCCGGGACCTCGGGGATTCATGACTGTGGAGTCGTGGTCTTGTTAGCCAGCGTAGAGCTGTCAGCTCGAAATCATTAAGCTATTATGAAGTCAGGCGGGATTTCCAGGCAGTTTGTCATGGTTCGCACTCTGTACATGTTGCATTTTGGTTGTGATAACATGCCTGTTTGTAGCACTGCTACGTATTGATAAATAAACTGCAGAAAAGTAACATGTTGCTGTATTAGAGAAGCTGCAACCGGTGTAGGTTCTGACCTTTTTGGCAGATCATTCGGTTGACCGACACTCCGTCGACCACTGTTGTGGTTTCGGCTTTATGTACCACTCATTTAATGTTTCCCATGTAGCTTCAGGATGAAACTCAACCGGGATGATAAACAAAAGAACCGTGTAAATATGCAACGAGAGGTTGGATTGGAAACAGAACGAAACCTCAATGTGAAATCTACTAAACAAAATGTCCCTCAAAAAAGCAGCTGTGTGAAACTCGAGCCGTTAATCTAATTGTGAAATAGATTAATTGTTAATATAGGGATTAAATAACCAAGTGGCCCCAATCACTTCCCAACGAGAATTGATATGCAAACGCTTTCCTACGGTCCTCTTCTGACCTTCCTGGTTTTTAGCATTCAGGGATCATTCCGGCACAAAGAATGATCCAATCATTTGAAAACCTAAAGCCTTTACGAAGCGCTGCTTGCTATTTAAGGTTAAAGCGCTTCTCTATTTCCTGAGGCCGGACTCTGGGAAGCACATAAACTGAAAAGCCGCTTTTGTTTTCCTGGGTCTTTTTCCCTAATCTGTCAGGCGGCAAATACTTTTATACTCAAACGGTTTGTCTTTCGCCTCCTGTCAGGTTGCATCTGTCTTATTTTTATATATTTACCTTCGGTTTAGTCTTCAGTCCAGATCAAACCGGCGTTATTACCAGTGGGATTATAGCGATGCAACGCTCCCTGAGTTGATAACAAGTGGATTACACAAGGTCCATCCGTATCTCCTCGACAACTCCTTAATACCTGAAGGATGGAATAAGGAATGATGCATGCGACTGTCCCAAAGCCTTTTTCCTAAAGCTGCACATTGTGCTTGTGGGTCACGGCAAGTTTGCCTTTTGTGATGAGGCAGATAAATAAACACACCGTGTACTGCGGTCTCCCGTGTCTTCCCCGTACTCTCAAACATGAAGAGGCTGCTAAAAAAAAAAAGAAAAGTCATACGGATCTTTTTAGTGAAGCACCAATGCCGCTGGTCTAGTTAATGAAAACAACGTGGGTGAAAACGCTCCGGAGACGATGCAGCTGCATGTTGTTCAGCGTCGTCCGTGTATCCTTCCACTGTACCAGTTACTGGCAACCGCCTGTTTCCCCTCATATCATTCAATATGGAACATCATGCTTTTTAAAAAATGTCATTTTAACTTTCCCGTCTCGTTTTCTCTCATCTCTCCCTGCTCCTCTGCTGTCTCGCTCCTCTTTAAATGTCCATCACCTGTCGATTGGTTTGTAGCAGATCTCTGAACCTCCTAGAGCTGATTTCAACCAGCTGGTAAACGATGAAATGTCGATTCACGCGTTCAGACGCGGATGAGAAATAGATGGCGGGAGATACCCGTCTATTTCATCCACAAACGGGCCGCATCGTGTAATCTGCTCACCCGCGACATTAACTCCTCCCCGGTGCACCTTCCGCTCAGGGAAATGGGACACGGGGCTTTTACATCGCCTCGTAGTCGGCGCGAGCTCAACACCGGCAACCCGATCACTAGAAGAAAAAAAAAGAGCCAATTATTTATCGGCGGCTCCCTGACACGACCGCTCCTACTCGCCTCTCAACAGGCCCTTTCACTCGCTTCCGAGCCGTGTCAAAGCTCCCGTTCGTTCATGACTGTGCAAACACGCCTTGAACTAGAACGTACCGGAAATACAACCTTCTCTTTCTTGTGGAGGGAAAGCAGTTCAGTTGTGTGTGGGAGAAAGATGATGCTCTTCTCAATCCCTTTCCTGCCGACCCTAAATACAGTACCTGCCTCCTAAATCTTAATTACAAAAAGAGGCTGATCTTCATCTTCTGCAAGTCCCAGAAGTCCACTTTGCTATTTGGTTGGAGTCGTTCAGACCGTTAACTGCGTTATAATTTCACTCCGCAGTGCTGTAGGACATCGCTACCTTCCAATTAACGCGCATTAATTGAGCTGACCTTTGTCAGTGTCTAGTTTGAGGTGGAATATTGAAATTAACTTGGGGAATAATGATTTTCCTCCCCCGTCCTTTGTCATCAGAGGACCGGACTGCTTCGTCACTGTAATGGGGAATTCTTTTGCGCGGTAAGCTGTAATTAGTGTGGAGGAGGAGACCTCAGGACGTATTGATTTCCCCACTGGCCTCGGTGAAAATGCCAGAGAAACACGGAGGACACGGAGACGTGGATCCAGACTGATTCATCCAATAGTGTGTCTCATGGAATCGTTTGAGGTCTTCATCCATATGCAGCTAGGCCCTAAAACAGAATCCGTGCAACGAGTGTTGTCGAGCTGTTGATTTGCACGGAGATAATAAGTGTGGAGTTTAAAATACGCACAAATATTTACAGTAAAATAAATCAACGTATCGGTGAAGAATACAATGTGATACGGACAGAAGGTGAACAAATCCTGACTGCTACTAGTTGTGAGTGATTGTGTAAACCTTTCCAGCCCAAAACGGGCTAAAGACACGGCTGCAATGCTCTAAAAACTATCCGTTTAAAGGAAGGGTTCGCCTGTAAAATGGCAAATTACTTCCACGCTTACGTTAATTTTTAAGGATGAAACAAACGAGCTGTAACGTGTCTATTTGTGCACATTTTGTTACTGTTGGACAAAGTGTTTCCTCTCTTTATGCTAAGCTAAGCGGCTACTAGCTCCGCCCACACATTCACTATCTCAGCGAGAAGCAGCACACAGGTGACCTGTTCGCCAGATAGAAGAGTCCGTTTGTCATCTTCCGCTCCTCATTGCGACTGACGAGTGGACCAATCTCAGACTGCTTGGCTGGTGGCTGCTAGAAGAGACCTGCATGCACACGCTGGCAATCCTATGTTTGATTTGCTACAGACTTCGTCAAGTGTGTGTGTGTGTGTGTGTATATATATATATTTTTCCTGGAGAAGGCGGGTATCTTTTTGGCATTTATGGGTTTTCTTATCAGCTTTTGACAGAAATCCTGCACAATGAAAGCAAGTATTTCACATATCCCATCCTTGTTTTCAAAATGATTTAAATCATAGTCCAAAAGCACAGACATTAAATCTTGTAAAACCATGGAATCTGATAACTGAACTCAGTTTTGCACAATGCTTTATTTCTCTTCAGGCGAGTTGCGACCATGCGCTGCCTGGCTGCCCGGGTGAACTACAAGACCCTCATCGTCATCTGCGCCCTCTTCACCCTCATCACCGTGTTGCTGTGGAACCGCTGCTCCAGCGACTCCTCCCTCCGCTTCCTGCCCCGCGACACCTCGGCTCCGAGTCCCAAGGTGGGCGACGCCAGCATCAGCAGCCAGCAGCACCCCCCGCAGCCCCCGGAGCCCCCGCCCGTCGTCGGGGCAGCCTCGGGGATCAAGTACGAGGACATCGACTGCCTGGTCAACGATGAATCCACCATCAAGGGCCGGCGGGAGGGCGCGGAGGTGTACCTGCCCTTCAGCTGGGTGGAGAAGTACTTCGACGTGTACGGCAAAGTGGTGCAGTACGACGGCTACGACCGCTTCGAGTTCCAGCACAGCTACTCGAAGGTCTACGCGCAGCGGGAGCCGTACCACCCCGACGGGGTCTTCATGTCCTTCGAGGGCTACAACGTGGAGGTCCGCGACCGCGTCAAGTGCATAAGTGGGGTGGAAGGTACTTTTTTTTTTTTTTTCCTATTGAGGGTCATAAGGATGTTTGTTTACTAGAGAATCCAGATCTGAAAGCTGTACTTGCTCCGAGCAAAGGTCAAAGGTCTTAACATTTACCATTCTGCCATATTTCACAATTTGATTCCTTTTGCAGATTATTATCGTTTTCAAATCTAAGACCCTCTCGGTTTCTTTTTTCCATTTTCCTATAACCCCATACACACAGGAGGATTGATTTAATTATTAATCTTGACTTTACTGGTATCTAATAATACCGTGTCACTGAGAAATAAATTATTTACTTTAAGTCCGTTCCAGATAAATCATAAATGATTTGCTTGACTAACAAGATGGATCCATTTTTAAAAGCACCTACTTCGTCTCTGCCACCCATTTCTAAACATTATTACCCTTTGTTTAACAGCGCCTGAAGTGATTTGTGCCAAGTAATTCAAAATAAATGATCTTTTCTTAACATTGTCAGACTGGAGGACTGTTAAGTGAGTGTTTCCCTCCCTTTCCTTCCCCCTTTGACTCGTTTGAGAGTTGTTTTCTCTTCAAGGTTCCTTTTAAAATAATTACCCAGAGGGATCAATAGCTCATTTCAAAAGGCTTTTAGTTCAAATCACATTGTCATCAATGTAATCCGTCGCCCGCTAGAAGAAGTTGCCCTGCAAATTACAAAATAGATTTTTATTATTCTGCTTTTATCATCAAATAACTACAGACACTGCTAAAAGAAAATAAACACCCGGAACACTAAATATATATATATATATATATATATATATATATATATATATACGTTTTGTATGATACATTAGATTTAGTGAGGAAGCAAAATATATCTGTTTCAACCGTGAAAATGACAGACGACATGAAGCAATTTGCTATTTGATGTTGAGAGTTTTTACCTAGTGACACAGCGGTCCGGTTGATTAGTTCCAATGCGTCTGGCTGATTTTTCTTTCTTTTTTTTTTTAATGTGAACTGCAGGCCCACTACAAAAACACATGCTGGGAGGGAACGCATTAGGCGGGAAATGGGTCAGACGGGAGTCCACACACACGCCCGCACACATTCTAGTTAACAAGGTCCAGTAATGAAGCCCGAGGCTCGTTGCTATTTAGCACTTTCACATGCACACCTCTCCTCAGCTTAGCATCATTTCATAGCTTGAAATAGCAGTTCATTAATTAGCCTGTCACGGTCCGAGTTACAACACAGCTCCAGCAAGGTCATGGGAGCATTTCTCTCCCAACGCACCCTGCTGCTAAAGTTATTTAACGCTACAATGTTCATTAAATGTTGTTCCACTATCTTGTTTTAGCAGTTCAAACCTTTCATATGCACCCAGATTGTTCTGATATCTCAAGCGGTCACTCGCTGCTGCTGAGATACTACAAGGATGGGAGAAGAAAAAAACGTTTAAATTGAGCTTTTCAGATAAATGAGATTTGGATACAGAAGTATGCGATCAAGGCTTTTATTATCAGACAGACATAAAAACACACTGCTTGTTGCGTCTCCTTCCTGGCGGTTTTACAGCAGGCGCGTTAGAAATTGAGGTCTTTTCCTCGTTGCAAAGAGCAAAAGTTGAGAATAATGAATCTCCGGCAGCCCGAGCGCTATCATTAGTGGAAGTAGTTAATCCTGTTTCAACACCCTCCTAAATCACGTCCTGTCGCCTTCTCTGTGGCTCTCGCTTCTTCTCCAACCATCTTTATCTTCACCCCCGCAAACCGTCGTCAAAGCCAGATCAGAGTGACTCCTCCATTCTCAGCACAACAACGGACAACTTTCGCGCGACTCATCGGCGGTCATTTCACATTACGCACGTCGCTGACTCTCGGCTCGCTGACCTGCCGGAGGTCAAAAGCGCCGCTTGCACACCAATGACACGGTGGCGCTCTTTTGCGGCTGCGTCAACCTCTTACACGGAGGCTCGGGGCCGTTGGTGTAATTGGCCGCGGCCCCAGTTTTCCGGGATATCTAGAAAATTCCGCCCTTTTGAGTCATTAAATTATACGCGAGCTTAACAGTCAATTCCACGCGGATCACTTGGTGTCATTCAGTGAGAAGCAGCGCGTCGCAGCGTTGGGATTTTAGCAGACGTGTGACTTAAGTTGTCTGGGGAGAGAAGCATGGCGAGAAAGCCTAGCGTGGGATTGCGTGCGTGCGTGCATTTCATGTGGCACTTTGACTTTTGAAGGGGGAAAAAATCGATCTGAAGCGTGACGAATGTTTGCAGGCCGTCTGCGTTGGGGAGACGCCACTGCCGCCCAACAGCCGAGCTGTTTACGTAGGAATGTAATCACGTTTATAGATGATCAACATTAGACCGCTGAGTGGTTTAAGAAGTTCATCTCAATTAACTCAGTTAACTCTTCACCTCTACGGTCAAGTACACCCACCTGACCCCAGAACAACAACAACAACAACAACAACCCGTAATCAGGTTTTCTCTTCACAGGCTCGTGCGGCAGTAAGGGAAGTAACACACTTGTGTAGCAGGCGGTGGAGTGTTTTCACCCAGGCCTAACAGGAGTGCGTTATGGCCTTCCTCTCGGGAGGATGGGGCTTTGGTCCGTGGTGTGTGTGTGTGTGTGTGTGTGTGTGTGCGTGCGCTCTGTCACCAGGTCTTTAAGCGAGCTATCTGTTAATCGGAGTGATTCTCCCGCCCGCGCTATTCCTGGCTGCCGAGCCGCGGGTGAAATGCGGTAGATTAGCTTGTGTTCCGCCACTCGGCCCGATCTCTCGCTGAGCTGGTGGTTTAAAATAAATAAATAATAAATGAATTCCGTGTGATTCCTACTGATTTTCTAAGTCTCACAATGTTGTTGATATCAATAATTGATTTAATAGCATTTTCTTTTAATGGATGCGGTCATGAAGCTGTTGTGACGTAACATTCATCAGAGAAAGATCATTTATTTAGAAATAAAGGAAGCCGTTCCTGAAGCATAATGTAATATTCATAATGTCTCTCTCGTGTGAGGAGGTCGTCTTCCACATTCACAGCGTTGTCCTCGTCTCCCCCCTGCTCCTCCCTCCCAGGCGTCCCTCTCTCCACCCAGTGGGGCCCTCAGGGATACTTCTACGCCATCCAGATCGCCCAGTACGGCCTGAGCCACTACAGCAAAAACCTGACGGAGCGCGCCCCCCACGTGGAGGTCTACGACACGGCCGAGGACCGGGACGGCCGCGCCGGCGCCGCGCCCTGGACCGCGTCCAAGGGCTGCGTCCTCAGCCGCGTCCACGACAAGAGCCGAGCGACCTCCGTGCGGCAGTTCAACGCGCTAGGTACGTCGACCTTTTCCCGCTTATCTCCTGTTGACCGAGGCTCAACGTGCGACTGGACCCAGAGGGACGCGGCGCCGGCCCGGCCGGTCACGGGTTGCTCTTTGCAGGCGGGTCGGTAGGCGGAACCATCCTGATGATCGTTTCCAACATGTGGCACTTAAGAAATCAAAACCCAAGTCCCGGGTGTTTTCATTTCACTATTCAAACCGGCTGAATCATTTCCCTGGAACACGTTTTAATCCGACAGAATAAACGGTGCATTCGTTTTGGTCTATTTTCAGCCGCAGATTAATGCCCACTTGGTGGTGTTTGCACCATGTTCGATCGACTGGAAAACAAACGCCATGTTCCTTGTCATGAAGACGGATGTCACCCACGGCAACATTAATGTGCTTTTCATTGTTTATCGACGACACAGAGGAAGGGACGCTTGGTCGCGCTTCGGCTGCATTGACAAGTCGTACGATCTCTTGTCAACTAAATGATCTGCTGTGTCCGTAGACTATTCGTCTTCAGCAGATCATATTAATCATATTTGTATTTTAAGCAAACCCACCTAATAGCTCCGGGTCGGGTGAACAGTATGGGAACGGATTCATGAGACGAGAAGCTTGTGTGTCGAGCTTTGAAAACGTTTTATTTTAATTTTATTAAATGATGATAATTTAAAGACATTCTCTATTATCGCCACATTTGTATCGTCTGCCCGTGCTGCCCGATGGCGCCGTCCTTGGCGCCACTTTGCACCGTTTCCAACCCCAGGGAATCCTGGTTGATCCTTTATGCATCAAAAAAAAAAATCGACTGAAGAGGGAAAATCTAAAAGCTGTCTACTCTTCACTCTCGTCGTCCTCCAAACAGAGTTCAGGGCTCAGAGTTTAAGTTCAACTCTCTTTACTCAGCTGTCAATATTTGTTAATTCCATGAAACGGAAAAAGCAACCTTGGCTGCTGCTCTGTAAACACGTGGCAGAGATAGTTTAGTGAAAGGTGAGGCGCCACTCTGTTGTTTTTAAGATTTCTATTAGTTCGGCTGATGACATGAAGGGAGTTCAGCTGGTTGTTGGAATCTCCCAGTTAAGCTTTTTAGCCCACAACTTTTACGTTGTTTAAGGGTGCTTGTGATATATTTAAAACTATGTAGACGACAAACACATTTGTGGAGCTAAATTCATGACTCGATTGTTTGAGTTTAAAGCATAACATTTTCTTTAAATGGTTAAATAAGAGGCGGACAGATTTGATTTAGTGTCACGTCTGACAACACGAGGAAGATGGTATTTTTGGCATTTGGGTGCTGACTGAGCCGTCTTACTTCTGCTTTGATCTCCTGCTGATATTTCCAGGACACTCTCTCCATTTCTCTCTCTGTCTCTTTCTGTGTCCTCTGTTGAGCTGTGCTGTCTACTGTACCCCCCCCCCTTCCTAATTCCTCCACTTTCACCCTCTCATCATTTCTTTTCACCATTTCTTTTCATTTCACCGCTCTCCACCTTTTTTCTCCGCGTTTCGCTCGCCGCGCGGCTTCGGCTCGCCTTCGTCGGCTCGCCATCATCGTCCGTCTCTTTCCTCAAACATCATCATGTTTTCATCATCCCCCCCCCCCCTCACCCACCTCACCCACCTCCCTCCCTCCTCGGCTACCTTCAGTCTCCATTAATCTTCCCCCGTCTCTCTCCGGGCTTCAGTCAGGTTTCCACCCTCTCTCTACTCATTTTCTCCCACTTAGCGCCCCGTCAGCCCGCTGTAGCTTCCTAAACATTGCAATCACATTACGCTCTCTCCCTTTTAGCGCCTCATTGTGATCTGTCATCCAAACTTTTCTTGCCCCCTCCCCTCCTGTCACTTCCTCTCTCCGTCGCTGCCTCCCTCCATTTCCTCCTCCTACTCCCTTCGCCCTATTTGGGTCTTTTTTTCCCCCTCCTTACTGTATCTAGGACACTGTTGTTGAACAGCCTCTCAAATCCTCTGACAAGTGGATCAATCGTCTGTCCCCTGATAATAACCGACCATCTGCACATTCCTGCATGAACGCCGCCCGCCGCACAGCACCCTCCTCTTCCGATTCCCCTCGTGGTGGTTTTTGATAGTTTCACAGACCTGCCAGAAGAAGCCCGGTGAAGCCGGAGTGCAGAGATGCAGCGTAGTGACAGCCGTCAGCTACGAGCCCTTTATTTATATTTATATATATATATATATATATATTATACACACTCACAGCAGTGACGCATTTTAAGCCAAGTTGGATGGTTTGACTTGGGAGCAGCAGGAAACGGACTACCAATAGAAACTATTATGTTAGGAAACTATAACTGAATAAAAAACATTGAGTCACTAATTAAGGGTATAAATGGTGTTAGAAACGTGGAGTGATTTCATGAAAATGAATTATGACTAGAAATTATTTATAAGTGAAATAGTTAGTAATTATAAGTGAAAGCTGTGATCTAATTTTCCATATTAGACTCAAGATATCAATCATTATATTAACATTATAAGCAGGCTCTTTACTCGTGGAGCTTCATGCAAAGAAGAATGTCCAAATGGCCGAGAACAACCTTTCGTACGCAATCTTCTTACATTTTGAGTTTTTTCCTATTTGTCATTAGTTATTGTTAGAATTGTTTTGTTCAATATTTTCCAACTGTCAACAGAGGAAAAACTGGAATCGAGAGGAATTATTGGCCAATTAACCTCGAATGAGAATCGTTATTTGTGGCCATTAAAACAAGACTTCCCAGCAGCAGTTCCTTGCGGGCGCGGTGAGCCCTGACGCGTCACCAGAGGACGTGGATGACAAACCAATGAGCGCCGTCGTCCCGCCGCTTGGACCTTTTAGCATCCGCACGAGCAGCCCGACGTGTTCGCCACGTTCCCTGCGACTTGTCACGTTTTACGTTGACGTGTGTGTGTGTGTGTGTGTGTGTGTGTGGCTGCGTGTCGTGTCTGTCTGGCGCGCTGTAACAGCCGGAGAGCGCGGCGCAGCAGAGGAGGCGGACCCTCGTCTGTATTCCCTCGCCCGTCCTTTTATCGATGCCAGAGTAATCACGGGGGCCAGAGTACAAATCCACTTACTCTCTGCTTTGCCTTAAGTAATGGATTTATGAGTGCATTAAAGAGCCAAAGTCATCCAGCGGCTCCTGCCAGGCTGGCTGGCTCCTCCGTTCTCCTCCTGATTGACTGCCTTTGTGTCTCGGCCTCCTCGGCTCATGTCATGCGAGATGCGATCTTCAATTGTCTTCCCGCTCTCGGCTCGTTCTCGCCCTCCCCGTCAGGCTGCCGTTGAGGCGACTCATCTCGCCGCCGCCGCCGCCGCCCTTCATTTTCTGGACCGCTGCACTCATTCTTCTCCTCAGCCTCTCACGAGCTATCTCTGAAAAGACTTGTCTGTTGTTGTTGTTGTTGTTGTTTTTAGCTGTGCAGACCAAGTAAGTAGGCCAAAGGTACGGCATGCGTCGATTGGTGGAGACTGAAATATCTCGGCTCTTGACTTTAGGGTTTGTGGGGGGAAAAGTTGCTTCAGTGCACCAGCTTCCTCTTCATGCCTCCCCTCTATTCCCTCCGTCCTGTCCTCCTAATGAAGCACCGTGTACAGTGACACATCTGTGCTGCACATCCCACGAGAGGCTGGTGTCTCCCTGTGGTTTGAGGCTCCCTCTCCCACACAAACGCACACACTCACACACACACTCTGCTAGCCACTTCAGTTTGAATGAAACAAGGTTTTGACCACAGAAGCTGTGTGACTGCTATTTCTGAACGAGACTGCATATTGAATCCGGGGAACGTGAGGAAGAAGAGGAGCTTTTTGTGGGAACACGTCACCAAAGGAGACGGAAAACTGTCGTCCTGCTGAAAATAGTCACTCAGTAATGAGAAAAACGCTACATTTCGTCCCTTTGTCGGTTCATTCTGCACGTTCTAACCAGCCTCCCTCCTCTCATGCGACCCCCCCCTCCCCTCCCCTCCCCTCTAGAGTCCTCTGAGGGCGTGTCCCTCCAGCTGGGGAACTCCAAGGACTTCATCCTCAGCTTAGACGTCAAGTTTGTGTCCAACGGCAGCGTGTCGGTGACCTTGGAAACCACGGAGAAGGGCCCGCCGTTCACCATCCACTACGTGACCAACGCGCAGCTCATCGCCTTCAAAGACCACGAGATCACGTACGGCATCGGCGCGCGCGGCGCCTGGAGCACGCTGACCCGCGACCTGCTCACCGACCTCAGGAAGGGCGTCGGCCTGTCCAACACCAAGGCTGTGAAGGCCACAAAGGTTGGTTCATGTTCGGCAGCTGTGCTCCAAAAAGCTGTTCTACTGGACGCGAGCCGACACACTTGGTAGATTAAGCATTAGATGTAAGAATTATCGGCATAATGATTGCGTTTGATTTCCACTCCCAGATCATGCCCAGGCGGGTGGTGAGATTAGTCCTGCACGGGCGGGGCTTCGTGGACAACGTCACCATCTCCACCACGGCGCACATGGCCGCCTTCTTCGCCGCCAGCGACTGGCTGATGCGCAACCAGGACGAACGGGGCGGCTGGCCCATCATGGTCACCCGGAAGCTGGGCGAAGGCTTCCGGCCCCTGGAGCCCGGCTGGTACTCGGCCATGGCCCAGGGCCAGGCCATGTCCACGCTGGTGAGGGCCTACCTTCTCACCAGGGAGCCGGCGTACCTCAACGCCGCCCTCAAGGCGGTCGGACCCTTCAAGGTGCCTTCGGCGCAGCACGGGGTCAAGGCCGTGTTCATGAACAAATACGACTGGTACGAAGAGTACCCCACCACGCCCAGCTCCTTCGTGCTCAACGGCTTCATCTACTCCCTGCTGGGACTCCACGACGTGAGCGACACCGCCGGGGAGAAGCTGGGCCGGGAGGCGGGGCTGCTGTTCGCCCGCGGCATGGAGTCGCTGAAGGCCATGCTGCCGCTGTTCGACACGGGGTCCGGCAGCATCTACGACCTGCGGCACTTCATGTTGGCCACGGCGCCCAACCTGGCCCGCTGGGACTATCACACCACGCACATTAACCAGCTGCAGCTGCTGGCGTCCATAGACAACGCGCCCGTCTTCAGGGATGTGGTCAAGCGCTGGAAAAACTACTTGAAGGGGATTCGTGCCAAGCACAACTGACCACACTAACTCCCCGGAGATGACTGAATACACCCGACTCTTTAACGGGTGGTTGAATGTGAGGCGAGTGCTCACGTTCTGTGTGTGCGTGTGTGTGTGTGTGTGTGTGTGTGTGTGTGTGTGTGTGTGTCTCAGTTCATAATCTAAAGGAGATTTTTCAGCTGCAGTTGGTAACATTAAACGTTTCTTTTGTGCTCTATTGCAGGTTTGGTGTTCTCTGCACCAGTGACTGTAGCTCTGCCTCCTGTGTTAATGCTTGAGCTGGTGTTTGTAATTATGCACAGACCTAGTTTCAGAGTGTGTGCGTTCTGGAAGAACGTGTGTGTGTGTGTGTGTGTTTTAGAGTAAGACTATATGATGTTAGAGGCAAATAAAAATGTTTTTTGTTTCTTTGACAACTTCATCCGAGTTTTGCAAAGTTTATATAAAAACAGATCAACAAAAGAGGGAACCAGACTGTGTTATGAGGAGGATAAACACCTTATCTCGTTAATATGAAATACTGAAACGTTTGGGATTCAAATCCTGCACTGTAAAGCTATTTTTATGAGATAAGCCGCAAGACACAGATGTTTTATTTCAAGACGTATTTTTAGACGCGCCATGTTTAAGCTGTCAGGTGATCATTCTGCTGTTTTTCCTTTGTAGAAAAGTGTGATGCTTCCAAACTGGCTGCTTCCAGTTCTCTTTGGAGTCTTTTTCATCAAACGACAATGAATACTTTGAAATAATTCGAGGAGAGATTACATTGATTCTGTAGTGAATATCTTTTCTTTCCTTTCCTTCAAATATTAAGTTACAGCATTCGGTTTCTGTCTAGAGAAATAAGCGCCTCCAACCCACCACATATGGATCCGGACGGTTAAAGTGGTTCTGCTCCTTAGTTCCTACCCACAATTCCACTGTGTGTTTTTGAGCTGTTGTGTATCCACATCTGGGCAGGGGTGACTGACTGCAGGTAGCATGCAGCCTCAGCACCGGTGTTCCCGTTATTGTCCCTGAGATGATGAATAATGTGCTTTAAATTGGACCCGTCGATGCAGAAGTCACGGCATTTCTTTTACCTTTTCAGGATGTTTAAAGACGGCAAACTGTCTGCTACTTTTCTTCGTCTGTAACCAGACGCCACTCCAGTCCCTCGAGTGGTACAAACAAACTCAATTATTCATGTCCCGCTGCGAAAAACACGGCTGCAAATAGTTAGCTTTGCATCACTTTGAGATCGCCTCATTAGCACATTTTGGGGTGAAAGCAGGGAAGTTGTGATTGGCCGAACATATTTAACCCCCTCGTGTCGGGCTTCTCTAGAAGTCGACACTGATGATTCTCAGTGTGCAGACGCCACTCGATTACTACTTCTAACTAAGTCTGACCATTATTTATAAATAATTAGCGTCATTATTAAGCTCGATACACATGCTGATAAAGTCAAGCTAACATTAAATTGCGTGTATCCGGACGGGGGGGGGACGGGGGGGACGGAGCGGTTCGCACAGACAAAGGCGGGAGAACTGAAGGTCGAGGCTGAGAGGCCCTCAGCATCCACAAAGCTTTTATGTTTCTACAGTAAATATTATTTTATTATACTCCACAAGAGGCTTTTGGTTATTTTTATGTAATCTTTCCACCGTCAGGATGCCGTACTGTGAGCCGAGCGTTGGGTAGAAAAACAAGCGTTTTCTTCATAAAGTTCGACGCCGGCAGCTTCGTCTGTGACGTAACTGCCTGCAGTCGGGACTGAGGCAGGAGTTTGTAATGTTTCAGGAATAAGGTCATGGCATTGAAAGGAAAATGAAACATCTTTTGCAAGGAAAAAGGTGACTTTATCCAAATATAACCACTTTTGTCATAAAATATTTTTTCCTTCCACTTTATTCCTGACGTGTTTTGCCCCCGTTCCTCCAAACCCTTTTGATTTTATCTCCAAGATTTTTCTTGACTTGTATTCTGTGGGTGAAGGAACAATATTGATGTTTTTAAAGTAAAAGATATCAAATATCCCAGAAAAGAAGTATGAAGGAACGTTTTCTTTAATACGTTTTTTGCACGCTTGCTGATTTCTTTTTTTTGTGTTGTCTTCCTCATCCATTTGCCATTTCAACGAGACAGGTTGAAATATGTCATTCAGGAACAGATGTTTCGTGTTTTGAAATACTGATTTATTTTCTTTATACCAAAGTCATTCATTTGAGTGTATTGGAAGTTCCCCGTTTCTGTGCAAAGCGATTCCCATTCAGCATTTAACGATGTTAGGTCTCCTAGGAGACGTCGCTGCGAGACACTGCCTTTTGACAAATGCTAGTTTTTCAAATGTAGGTTAAATTATAGCAGAAGAGAAGAGGCATAAAACTTAAAGCTTATCGTAAAGGGAAAGTGTGCAACTAGAGATCAGTACGTGAGTTTTTCTTCTGTTTGAGTCGAGTTTGTTCGTTTGTAATCTTTTAAGCAAATGAGTTAGATGTTTAATTCGATCGTCAAAAGCACAAAAGCGTTTTTTTCCAATATTTTTGTGGCATTTTTTTTTTTTTTAAGACATTTTGTGCGACGCCTTTGTTTTGATCGCTGCGATGATTGTTCACCGTGCAGCAGGTATCACAGCTCCTTTTATTCATTTCAGTGTTTTTGTTTCTTTCCCACGCGTGACCGCCGAGGTCAAATGTGATTTATGCAATAAAATGTTTACTGGGGTCGTGAACGCCACAGGAGACCCAGAGCGGATGTACGGACTTTGCAATTCAAGCACAATGTGCAAATGCTACCATGTTTTTAGTGGGAGAGAGGCGTTTATATACAGAGTAAATCTTTGTGCTTTAAAGATGTGTAAAAAAATAAAAGCATTTTTCTTAATCTTCTGCTCAAATGCCTATTTCTATCTAATATTTAACAGAGCACTTTAATACCCCCCACCCCCCAAATTGTTGTGATTTCATGACTTTTGGTCCATTTTTTTTATATTCATACACGTAATTTATATATATATATTTGATTTGGAATTGCAACCTTTCATCAAAACTGCATGAATATCAAAGGTACCAGTCAAAGGTTTGGACAGACTTTATCGTGGAATTGATCCATAAGAATCAATCATTGTCGTCATCTTGCCCCTTTTCATATTTTTGGCGTTTTTCATCCAAAAATGTAATTTCTTGCCAGCCTAAAATGTGGTCGTCTTTTTTTAAACTCATTGTTCCGACTCTGCACAGATGTTTGGTCCAGGTCGGCAGGTGTTACTCGCACGATAACGTCCACTGTTCAGCAACCGTTTGTTCACGCTGAAGAAAACCGATCCTGGTAAATAACCAACTTTTCCCCCCTCGTGTCTCATTCTTCTTCTCTCAAAGCGATATTCCAGTCCTGCATCTACCCCCCCCCCCCCCCCCCGAACGGCCGGGCTCTCTTTGTCCCCCTCTGGGGGAGGCACCGTGGATCTTTGGGTCCGCGGCTTCCTGGGCTCCCTTGCTTTACCCCTGAATGACAATAACACCCCCGCTGAAACCTGCGTTATTGGAATTGTGTGTCTGTTGTTCGGCCGGTCTCAGAGGAGGTTGCAGAAAAGAGAACGTCGTTTGGATGTGGAGGCATTTAGTGAGAAGTGATTCACGTATTCTGATATTCTTGAGTTCTTTCCTTCAATGTATCTTGGAGCAAACCATTGGTATTGTGTAAAATCTCTCTGCTGATAAACATTCATTTTATCTGTTCATCAGATGGATACGAGCATACAGGTTATACAACCTGCATCTTCGCACAAAAGTTGCACCCAGGGGTTCTGTGCAGAAATGAGAATAATCAACCTTCCAGCACCTTTAAATCTTACACACTGATTAACATGTTACATCTCCCCGGGCAAACGGTGCTTCCCCCTGTGTACCGTCGTTCACAATTAAGAAAGTGGTGTCAATCTTCTAATCAAATTCTCAGCGAGAAAACGTAACGTGCCTGTTTTTTCAAATGTGGAAGCTCTCCTTTAATATTCTGCCCTGGTTTCAGCAGCTACCTGAGCAGCATCTCCTGTGAAGCTTCTTCATCTGGTTGCAGATATCAAACTCTGCTCAGATTGTCTTCTAAATAAACCCCATGGAAACTCTCGTTGCACTTGAAAGACCATAAATGCCCCGCCTCCCTTTCCAAAGCCAGTAATCGCTGTACTTTGCTCGCTGGCGTTCAGCCGGCCTCCTCTGGTCTGAATGGTGGAGCGGATAAAAATCTGTCGGCATCCAGAGTTCTTCAAGTTTCTGTCTGGATCCAGTGAGGGACACGCTGCTTTGAAGGTCTGAAAAGCGCCTGGAGTCTAACTACTATTAATAATGTATCAGGGGAGGTGATGGGAGGCGGGGGGGGGGCGTCTGTCTCACACACGTTCCTCATCCGGAGACACAAACGACACCTCATCAACCAAACCCCCGGGGAGGCAGCGAGCCGCCTGCTTCAGTGAAGTCTGTCGCACATCTGTCCCTCTGAAACCCCCACAGGTCGCAGGTCACGCCTCGGCACACCGGAGCGCCACACTTCTGCTCCAAAGTGTGAGGAAAATGAGTGTTTGATGAGGTAGCACGAGAAGGTCAGGGGGGGGTAAAGGTTTTCTTATCTCTGATCACATAAATGCAGTGATGGGATGCAAACATCAACTATCAACGACGCAAAGTAGATGAGTATTTTAAAATACCAGGAGATTCTGCCTATCCTTACCCACAATCCTCTGCACGGTGGATATCTGAGGAGGGTCAAGGTGACAAGTCATAACCCGAATGTTTTATATGCCGCTTGGTAGTTTGATCTATAATGTGCAAGTAATAGCTGGGAAATCCATGTAGACGTAGAGTTACTTTCCACCACTGCACGTATGTTCAGTTTACGTACATGTAATATCAGTGGTTTAATCCTGAGACCTTAAAGATGTCTGAAGTCTACAAAACAAAGTAGTTCAAGCCGGATGACTCCTTAATGCGCCGTAGTGGTGCTGATGTAACTCAAACATGCAGGACTTCATCCAGGAGGCTCAGTCTGTCCTCAGACTGCGAACCGAAGTGAACTCGTTCCTTTTTCTCATTTACAGTCAATAAGAGAAGCAGCAGGACTTCACGACCTTTCTGTGTCTGCAGCGACGCACTTTGATTCCCTCTCAAACATTTAGCGCTTCATATCAAAAGAGTACAAAGGCAAAGTGTGATATCTAAGGACGGGGTTTAAGGACACTGGACTTCTTCAAAGAGAGCCTTCTAAAAAATGAAAAATAAAAACCCTTCCTTTTTGTTATTCCTCTCCACAGCGCTCCTGTTTGGAGGCGCTGCCCCCTGCTGGTGAGCTGCGGCAGAACAAGCGTCAGCGTCACCGAGCAGAGAGTCTGATGCAAGTCATTGATTCAGGGTTCCCTTTAACCGTGTGCAACATCAGGGAGGATCTATCCACATGCATTAAGTGAATGAGTGTTTTTATTTGGCTTTTAATCAGCTGAAAATAGGCAGCATTCCGTTTGACTCGTTACCAAAGAATGTTTATATCAATTAAGGATTCCGCCTGTGGTTCTGGTGCTCACATGGAAGACGTCTCATTAACAGTTTTTATCAGTTTTTTGCAACCTCACTGCTAGATGTGTGTTCGGTTTGTGTCCACGTCTCTTATACTCATCAATTTCATGAGTCAAGATTAAAATATAGCTTACTAATTGGACAATGTGATGGAAGTTGATACTGCCCTGTATTTTTTCATGTCACATTTTTTTCCTTATTTGATTGATTATTTATTATATATTATTTTGCACTTTTTTTCTCCACTACATTTAAAAGCTATATTTCACAGCTTTAGTTTCCCTCTAGTGGTGTAAATGTGTCGGTGCCGAGTGAAACCACTGTTAAGTGTTGAGCAACCAGGTGATGCCTGATGACTGCGTGATGCCCATAAGGCCGATTACGGTGTTTCCGTGACAGCATGAGCGTGACTCAACAGTTACTAAGTGTTGGCAAATACTGAAATGCTTAAGCACGAACCCTCACCGTGCAGGTTGTGTGTCTGAGCCACCGAGCACATTCCTGACCCCGCCTGACCGCGCCCGTCAGTACTGCTGAATGGGTGTGGTCACAAGCAGTGGGACACTTTTAAATATAACACAATATACATTTAAATCCCCCTTTTTTTACTTTATGCCTAAGCTGTTGTCACTTCCTCCTCTTGGCTCTACTTTGTTTAAACTGACGCCGCTTTAAGTCTTAATGACTCACATATTAGCAAACTACACCTCCGAGCCATTCCAAACCGACGGGTCTGTTTGTTTGTTGTCTTGTCGCTCTGAACCCGAGGTGTCGCTCTGCAGCTCTGCTCCTCTGAGAGAAGAAGCTGATCCCGAGGTGCCGCGCGCGACTTCTTTTGTTTCATGGCCCTGATCTGTTGTGGCGAGCACACCTGCGTAGTTTCGAGTTGTAAGCCGAGGATTAGGCATCTCAGAGCAATTTGGGTGCTCCGTCGAGCCTTTGAGATGAAGCATTAACGTCTTGTATGTGCTTGAACTTGAGCAAGCATGACTTTCTGTTAACTGCTTGGTTTTGAGGTCAAACATTTAAGTAAAAAATATACCACACCAAAAAAACCTGCTGTAATTGACCTTTCCTTCTCCTTTACGTCCTGATCCTCGGTGGCAGTGAGACCTGTTTGCTCTTATTGTTTCACAGTTTTCATTGAGATAAGCCTGGATGGGCTCGGCACTCTCTGGGTGTGTCAGATGAACCAGGAGAGGAAAGTGGAATGAAACAGACTTTACTGCCAGAACCGATTCCCACCCTTTAATTCGCGACGTCAGACCTGTATCTGGGCCTTTTCTGGTGGGGAAAAAGTGTTTAAATGATTTGCCCCAACTGCAGACAATTAACCTTAACTTAACTATCAATCACAACTGAAGGAAGTTTTTTTTTCTTCTGGCACCTGATGGACTGGCTCGGCTGTCATCTCTGTGTTTAAGCGAATTATGCAATCACCAAAAGGAGATAATGTGTAATGTGAAACAACAGGCTCGTAAACGTTCAAATGTCTTCCTTCCTTTGTGTGTGCGCGTGTGTACTTGTTTGTTTGTTTGTGTGTGCATGCCTTCATGCCTTTATGTGTGTGCACATACCCTTCACCTCCAGAGAGATAGGAGGAGGAGGAGGAGGAGGAGTTGCACGGGGTATACTGGATATTCTCGCTGGGTTTGAAGAGGGTGGAGATGAAGGGGAGAAACCCAGAGAGCAGCATGGCAACACAAACCTTATAAAGAATGATGCACACACCCGGCGGGGCGCCTCAGTTCAGCTCTCCTCGCAGACACCAGCAGCAGCGGCAGCAGCACCTTGCAGCAGTCATGCTCAGCCTCAAATTACCACAAGTCTTCACCATCAATCAAGTGCCCAAAGTAAGTTCATCTTAACATTTCGGCCTAAATCAGGAGGTCGAGTGTCGAGGAGGTTGTGGTTAAGACACGCTCGTGTTTGGGGTTTCAGCTAGAATGTGTGTGCATGCTGTTCTACTCAAAAAGGCCTTCGTGTTCCTTATACTGTCAGTCTGGATGTACCCGTATTCGCCCTCGGCGTGCGAAACGCTCTGTTTTAGCGCTTTGTAAAAGAACTGCATTGCCAGGCAACAGCTTCGGTCCATGTTTACTTCCTGTCAGCTGATGTCTTTCACACAGGCCGCTTGGAGTGTTTCAATTTTAACATGTGAAAAGGTTCCATTCAATGATGTAGTTGAAGGGCACCATGAAATGAACATGGAATTCTCATATTTTTTTACAACATAGTGAAGAAGAAATCAAAGTGAAAAACTTAATTTGACTTAATTTCCTCTTTTGCCCTTTTTTAAATGGACGTTGTTCACCGCAGGTTTTCCACGAGCACGGCATCATCTCCGGCTACCGACACCCCCGCAGCTCGGCCACCGACTGCATCCTGAGCCTCTTCCAGCTGACCAATGAGACCCTCAACATCTGGACCCACTTTTTGCCCACCTGGTAAACACTCCAAATGTGACCCAACGAACCCCGTCGCTTTACTGCCGCAATTTACAGGCGCGACGTGTGACACACCACGAGGACTTCACAGTTGTTTTTGCTTCTGTCACCTCGGGCCAGACGCAGATTCATTTCTCCAAAATTCCTACACTAGCCAAGCGGAGCGCTTTTTGTCTTTCTTGGAGCAGCGAGGCGTTGCTGGTTCCTCTTTGTGTTAGAAGGAATCCTGCACAGCTTGTAGAGCTTGTTGGTCAGAGCGTGAGACACAATTTGAATGTCTGTTTTAACACGCAGACATTTCCAAAAGTCTTCAGCTACTATGACGGATTAGAGAGATGACTTCCTGCTACTGTGATCAAACGCGTCGAACCACTCGCCAAATTGGAAGGACTGAATACCGTCGTTTGGAAAACGTGACTATTTGGTTTTGTGTGATGTGAGTTTGTGTTGCTCATGAGAAGGATTGCACATACAAACACATCCGCCTGGGTCCCATTGACCTCCTGCTGTGCCTCCCTGTTAGCGGCCTTCATGTGCAGCAGGACTCCCATCAAGACTTTCGCAGCCGGTTGCCTAATCGATTAGATATTTGGCATATTTCTTCCCCCGGTGCATTGAGAGCATTCAGATGAAACACCTGTAGGGACGTGAGGCTGGAGTTGGAAGAGCTGAGGAGGAAGAACGGACACAAAGTCAAAGAATGAGGGTCGTTTCCGTTTCATGCCGGCTACACATTCGTTCATTCTGGAGCTTGAAGGAACATCTTTACCTCCCCCCCCGAGTTTTGACCAAACACTGCATGACAGCATTTATTATTATTTGGTCGAGTTTATGCGAGTAGCTGAAGAAAAGCTGGTACAAAGGTAGCGGCCCCCCCCAGGAGCCACGGGGCACTTCCTGTCTGCTGGGATGCCAGTTGCTTTGACTGCATAGTCCAGAGAGTGCGTGTGTGTGTGTGTGTGTGTGTGTGTCGCGTGTGTGTGTGTGTGTGTTGTGATAAAGACGGCGATGTCATCGTCTATGGGGCCCGGGACACATACGCACACACACACACACACACACACACACACAGGCAAGCCACTAATGAGCAGATCCGTGCTGGAGGCTTGCGAGGCGACTCAATTAGTAAACTGCTCGGTGGAGGGAAAAGCATCACATGGATGATGTGTTTAGTGGGAGGCGCGGAAATGGACACACACACACACAACTGGAGCCCTACACAAGCTTTTTGTGTGCAATTGTTTAGCGGCCGAGGATTACAAACAAGTGAGAGCGTTTCATGCGGTGACACTTTGTTCTGACTGATTCATCTTCTCAGACGTCTGCCTCGGTTTTCATTATGTGTGTGTGTGTGTGTGTGTGTGTTTATGAGATATCTACTTAATAAGATAAAGTAAAGAGCGCCATCGGTGCCTGTAGGGGCACTCAGTTCAGGAAGGTAATTGAGTTTGTGTTTCAGTGTTGTTTTATAGTTTTCATTATTTAGTCTAGTTTGATAGTTCAGTGTTTACTTTCATCACGGAGCTGATTTACTGTCCCGATGTTGTTCCATTGTTCGGAAAGAAGGAGCTCGTTGATTTTCACGCTGATACAGTATATCGGTGAACACTGGTGTCCGTGCACGAGGAAGGAGACGGGGCAGTGAGGCAATTAGCTTAGCTTAGCATAGACACGGCACGTCTCTGCACGTCACAGCACTGCAATTATCATGTTGTGTGTCGTGTTTTCTTTATTTTTAAACAAACAGAAATATATAAATGAAAAGGTGTGGTTTTATTGGAAGTTACATGCGGAAATTGTGATGTGCAAATATATTAAATGATATATTTGTAATATGATCATATTTATTATTACCTATTTGCAATTATCATCATCCGTGTAGTGACGGCCTAAGTTGAAGTCAGAGGCCGATCAGCTGTGTCTTATTTTTTCTGTGAAGGCCACACTATCCACGTTGGCGACAGGCGCCTGATGTCATAATCGAAACTGGTTGATTTGCTCCCGGCAGGTACTTCCTCTGGCAGGCGGTGTCGGTGGTGTTGGTGCAGACATCGTGGCAGGACTCCTTCATCTGGCCTCTGGTGATCTTCCTGCTCACCTGCTGCATTTATCCGCTGGCGTCCAGCTGCGCTCACACCTTCAGCAGCATGTCGGCGCGGGCCCGCCACATCTGCTTCTTCTTCGACTACGCCGCCCTCAGTTTCTACAGCCTGGGTGAGTGTCAGCGTTTTCACGCTCCGGGTGCTTAGAAAAAACAGGCAACAAAAACGAAACGCACAACAGTGCGCTGATGTTCGTGTCGTGCTTCAGGCTCAGCAATCGTCTACTCGGCTTATGTGTTCCCGGACAAGTGGGTGAACAGCTTCTTCCACCGGTGGTACGTGCCCGCGGCCGTGTTCAACACCATCATCTGCAGCGGCATGGCCTGCTATTCCAGGTGTGGGCGGAACATCCGACGGCAAAAGATGAATCCTTGTTTTACTAAAATGATCTTTATTAGTTAAATGTGAACACTGATAATAGATTTCTATGTGTGTTATCATGATGAAATGCTAAATGCTAGTTGCACGCATCACAATGTCATTTATTCATGTGCTGGACGGCTTGGCCGGCTAATTTATTGTTCTTTCACTCATCTCTCCCCGCTGCTAAGGCTCGGCCTGCCGTTTGTGCAATATAACCACGACGTCGTAAAGAGGTAAAAACAATGCATTGGATTAAAAAAAAAGACAAACAGCAAAAGATGTAAATTCATCCTGTAGAAATCTGTGACCACTGTTTTCGGACCCGACTTTGTCCCACGGACCTGGTTGTCTTTCAAGAATCGAGCAACTCTGTGTTGAACACATCGGGTGTTACAGCAGCGTGACTGTGGGGACCAGAAACCGTGATACAGTCCAACAGCCGGTCTGAAGGGCTGACAAAGACATTTGCTTAACCGGTTCTAACTACCTTGCTCACTGACAGTTCCTGGAACTAAAATGTGTTATTCAAATGAAAGGGTTGTGTGCGTGCACTGTAAATTCAGCGCAGCCATCATTACATATGACGTGTACACTTTGTATCTTTAATTTCAGGTCCACCGAGTGTCATTCTCCAAAGTTCAGCAAATATCTCCGTGTTTTTGCCTTCGCCTACCCGTACATGTTCGACCACATTCCTCTCTTCTACAGGGTAGGACCACATCTGTGCACCACACACACACACACATGCGCGTGTGTCTTCCTAGAAAGTCAGAGATAACAGTCAATACATCATTTCAAATCCACATCTTTGATGTGACTTTTCTGCTTTTTTCATATTCATGATTTCCACGACGATGGTTATTTTGGCCGGTGTATGATTTACTTTAATCATACTTCATGAATGCACATGGTAAATTCATATGAGCAGTGTTGTCGTCGTTGTAATCAGTGGAATCTGCTCTTTGTGTGTGTGTGTGTGTGTGTGTGTGTGTTGTGCTCACAGGTGTTTCTGTGTGTAGGAGAGGGCTGCACAGAAAATGACACCAACGTGCTCCACTGCAACCACATCGTCTTCGCTCTGCTCACGGGCTTCCTGTTTGCCACACACTTACCTGAGCGCCTGGCGCCGGGGAGCTTCGACTACATAGGTGAGACTGACCGGAGGAGAAGCCACGCTCGTCGTCATCGCCACGTTGCGCGCCTTTTCGTTTTGCGCCACATAGAGGTTTCACGACAGTGATTTTGCACCTTGAGGAAGTAGGATTTAGCTTAGCTGTTTTGATTCATTCTCGCTGTCAGATAAACCCACGTTGATGCCGCGTCTCTCCTTAGTCAAAGCAGAATCAAATTATGAATCTACCTGTGTGAGTTAAACTTGCCGCAACTTGTCTTTTAAAGCTATTAAACCATAATTACTTCCTGTGCCATGATCACACATTCCCGATCCTTGTACCGCTTTTTAATGAAGCGTTTTTGACACCTCACTGTCTATGTTTGAACTCCCACACCACCGGATTCACATTAACGCACGAAAGGATCTCTCCTTTGTGTTAATCTTTGAGAAATAATGCCAACGCATAACCACCTCCACATTTTCCGTTGAAGTGGTTCAGCGGTGCTTTGAAATCACGCGATTCGACTGCTCCCCCTGCAGGTCACAGCCACCAGCTCTTCCACGTGTGCGGCATCCTCGGCACCCACTTCCAGATGAAGGCCGTCGGGCAGGACATGGTGACGCGGCGCCCCTGGCTCCTGGAACACTCCGTGCCCGTCACCTTCTCCAACTCCGTGGGGGCGGCGCTGCTTTGCGTGGTGGTGAACTTGGCCATCATCGGCCTCTACAGCCTACCTCTCCTCTCTGCTCCGGCCTGTAGACAAAAGAAACGCGATGAAGGATCAAAGAAAGCCTCAGGCTGGATCTGCTCCTGCTCCTAAACCTCCGGCACCTTAACCACGTGGTTGGAAAAGAGTGCATTATGGGAACAAACGTGAGCTACGTGGGAGCCGATGTAATGGGGATTGTAATGGAGATTGTACTCCACACTCAGGGTGGTATTCAGCCGTAAGACATCGCTCTGATGCGTTGCACTAACACACAATGGAAAGCAAGCAAAATGTTTGTTTCTATTATATGTGAATAATCCAAATGTTTCTAAGGAAACTATTTCCGACAAAAACTTTGGTCCTATGAGATCATCTCTTTAAAAGAACAGTTTATTTCACTCAGTTGTCTGATTTCCACTTGTGGGGTATGAAGAGACTGTTATATGCAGGGAACAATAACCATGTGAAATCTAAAATATACATTTAAAATTGTAGTATTGCAGTTCACTGTGCCTTTCCCCATTTATAGTGATTGTCATCATTACATTACATGACTAAATAAAACCACACATAGGAGACAGTTATGACCAGAGATGATCATGTTTGCTCTGGAGTTTGAGCTACAAACAACAAATCAACAAATTCTTTGTCAGCAGCGTGTTTACTGTTAATGTAGCCCCTGATACAGAGAAAGTGTTTTCAGAGTAGTTTATTTCCCTCACATGATGTGCCTTTGAAGATAAACTGAAAGTATTTTTGTACAATGTTATTTATTTTTCAAATATAATATCAACCAAACTTGCCTGTGTGTTTTTATAATGTCTGTATATTATAACGGCCTTTTAAAGAATCGGTCAAGGAAAGTTCATGTTGTCTTGTCGGAGATTATATCAATTAAAATTTTAATTAAAGGAAACTATGAATAAAAATAAATACAGTATTTTATAAATTACATTTTAAGAATCAAGTAATTTTATTCAACAGGCATTTGTGTATATTGTACATGCTGTTTTATTATTCATACTTGGTAACGGCTTGATTAATTTGGCTAAAAAATATTGAATGAAATAAGATTATTTCTGAGTATTTTCCGAGGCTTAAAAGTCTTAGTTTGTTATAGTTTATTACTGGACCTTGAGATCCAGCGAGGATGTGGATTTGTCCCCGAGGGCGGGACTTCCGGTGCTCTCTGCCGTATCTGCTCTGTGATTGGTTTAAATATTAACGACTCAGAAAAACGGTTCACAGAGGGAATTTTTCAAATCGAGAAGAGGCGCTCTGTGTTCAGCGGAGAGGAGTTCAACAACACAAACAATGCAGAGACCAAAGTGAGTAACAATCTTTCTTACACACATAACGCGACACACTGGTAACATTAGCAGTCTAGAAACCATGTATTTTGCTAGCAATGTGATCCACACGTATCACACGTAAGCTGCTAGCAGCAGTTCGGAGGAGGAGTGTTAGCTTCGTATTGTTAGCATAGCTCGCCGTGTAGAGCGCTAACCGGTTGACTGGTAACCGGTGAACGAGCGCACTCAACCGACGTTATCATCCATGTGTTTTATGTGTCTATGACAAGGGCTGCACGTCGTCTTTGTTTGTTTTTAAAAAATGGAACTGGAAGTGAGCATGAGCTATTTGAATTGTCGTGAGCAATAACACCGCGGCTAATTGAGCTAACTGAACGGTAGTTAACTATAGGCCAAGTGAGGAGATTAGGTATAGATTTCACAGAACGAAATACTATATTGGAAAACATATCTTGTTTTACTGAAGTGGTTTTACACATAGCTGTTTAGTTGGCTCTAAGCATATTTACATTTAGCATTTGTTCCTATTGAGGATAATCCTGTTAAAAGGGTCTTTACAACTTGGAGGACAGTCTTCCAGGTGACATAAGACACAAAGAAGCATTTTTCTCAGTTTGGTGTCAAAGAGTTTGGGAACGAATTGGACATCAGAGTGAGCTGATGTGTGTAACTCATTTGATCAATTCGGTGCATTTTCACATTGATTGTGACATTTCTTTGTCACTCGCAGCAAAGGGAAGACTCCTCGGAGACCGGGCCCTAAAAAGGCCTCCAACATAGAGAAAGATCCTGTCGGGGTAAGTGAACACCTGCAGGTCAACCAGGTCAGGACGAATATGCGTTGATCCACCTGCACTGGCCTCAGGGCAGCGAGTGGAAATAAAGTGCGCCTGAATGTGGTTCTCCCAGTTTTCGTCCCCCGGAGACCTCATCTCTTCGTCCATCCTCCTTAGGTGTACTGTCGAATACGTCCACTCGGAGCAGAAAATGAGGAGTGTTGCGTTGAGATGATCAGCAGCTCCACCATACAGCTCCACGCTCCCGATGGGCTCAAAGCAAACCGCAACGGGGAGTACAAAGAGGCGAGTGTGTGTCCCGCCGTAAAAACGGCCGACACGTGATACTTTCTTTAACACAATCTTGTTTATTCGGGGTGATTTTACGTTTACTGTGTGTTTTATGTTTGTCCTTTTAGACACAGTACTCATTTAAAAAAGTATTTGGTATTAATACCACTCAAATGGAGCTGTTTGGGGACGTTTCCAAGCCTCTGATAGAGGACCTTATTCATTGTAAAAATGGTGAGTGAATTCATTTGTTCTTTTTGTGCAAGTTTCCCGAATCTGTTGCAAATAATGAATGATGTGATGATTTTGTTGGTGAGTTATAACGTATCTGCTGTGTGTGGAATGTTCCGTGTCCGCAGGGCTGCTGTTTACGTACGGTGTCACTGGAAGCGGTAAGACCTTCACCATGACCGGCTCACCTGGTGAGGGGGGGCTCCTCCCCCGCTGTCTAGATATGCTCTTCAACACCATCGGCCCCTTTCAGGCCAAAAGATTTGTGAGAATCTTCCTTGTTTTGGCTTTTTCAAAGTTATCTTTTTGGGGCGGTGGGAGATTTTTTTTTTTTAAATGTATTCTTCATCAGGTGTTTAAACCGGATGAAAAAAACGGGATGGAGATCCAGGGTCAAGTTGATGCTCTCCTGGAGAGACAGAAGCGAGACAGTCAGCCGTCGGTGCCCAAAACGCCATCCTCCAGGTAACTACGCTCCGCTCTTTTGCTGTCTCTGCTTTCTGTGGTGTGACAACTACCTACGCAAGCATTTAGAGGAAACTGAATTTGCTAATGAAGACGCTGTTTTTTTTTATTATTATTTCTTCCTTCAGGCAGAGGGCCGACCCGGAGTTTGCGGATATGATCAGCTCAGAGGAGGCGTGCAAAGCCGACAATGTGGACGAAGACTGTTGTTACAGCGTTTTCGTGTCCTACATCGAGATCTACAACAACTATATCTACGATCTCCTCGAAGATGCTCCGTTCGACCCTATCCGTTCAAAGTAAGGGACAGCATTTAAACCGTTGTTCTTGTCGCAATGCCGTTTTTGTGATTGTCTTTAAAACGCATATTTGTATCCAGGCTTATTATTTGTGCTTTTTATATACACGAGATGTCTCTGCAGGTAGTGAATATTGGGAAAACACTTTTTATCAGCAAAGCTCGGTGGAGGCACGTCAGTACGGTACAATGAGTTCATGCATGTGAAAGTACAATAGTTGGATATTACATAGTATTCGTAGCTGCTGTCCCATAGGTCATCAGTTAGCCCTGTCGTTACCCCTGTGGGGGTTTCTGTCATTTTGGTAGCGGTTTGGCTCCCTGCTGTTTTGTCTGGAGATGCAGAACTTTCCTGAATAGCTCAAACTTTGTGCCCACGGGTCCCTTCGATGCGTCCCCATGGATTTTGTTCTGACACCAACGATGACACCAACCATCATTTTACCTTCGGTTGCTTGTTTCCGTAAAGCGACACACTGTCGAGTTGCGCTATGTTTATTCTTTTCGTCAACTTTTTTCAGACCGCCTCAATCCAAGATTCTCCGAGAAGATCAGAACCACAACATGTACGTGGCGGGCTGCACAGAAGTGGAGGTCAAATCGACGGAGGAGGCCTTTGAAATCTTTTGGAAAGGTGAGTGGTAATAAGTCTTTTTTTTTTGTTTTTTTATAGCTTTTGTATCATATTTCATGTTATTTGACATGTAGCGCAATTTAGGTTATCAAGTTTGGGGCTGTAAGCTTTTCATTCTTGGATTTTTCTTCTTCTCAACTAAACAATTAGAATATTTTGAATTGAATATATATATATATATATATACACACACACACAAGGCAGCCATGACATTTCTGGGTCACATTGTTGCACGGCAGCGGCAAACGTCTCTAACAATAGAAGTACCGGTAACAATTTGACCCTTTTTTTAGTTTTTACCCCGTCTTTTTGTTCCTTTCACCCGCTGTGTGGATCATGCTCTCTCTCTTTCTCTAGGACAGAAGAAAAGGCGCATAGCAAACACTGAGCTTAACCGAGAATCCAGCCGCTCCCACAGCGTGTTCACGGTGAAGTTGGCCCAGGCGCCGCTCGATGCGGACGGGGACCACATTCTGCAGGTGACATGCAGCCTTCATCATTGGCTTCTTTTCGTTTAATAAATATTCAAAGATAACGGGTGATTCCCCCCCCCCCCCCTTTTTTTCCTTTCTGCCACACAGTTTGATACTGACTGCGTGTTATTTTAATTGCAGGACAAAAACCAGGTGAGCGTGAGCCAGCTGTGTCTGGTGGACCTGGCCGGCAGCGAACGCACCAGCAGAACCAGAGCGGAGGGAAACCGTCTCCGCGAAGCAGGTCGGTTCATGTCTTTCCGTGCGTTTCCATCTGAAATCAACCACGAGGGGATTTCAGACAGAAAAAATGTATTCAATTTAAAAAACGACTCTGGTAATGTGTCATTTGCAGGCAACATCAACCAGTCCTTGATGACACTGCGCACATGCATGGAAGTCCTGCGTGAAAACCAGATGTGTGGAACTAATAAGGTTATTTCATCATCCGTTCATCACTGAATAATATATTTATATCATGGGCGGCGACGCCTCCTGCTTGTGGTCACTGGTAATACCATCGCGTTGGGGCAGTTTCACAGAGCCTTTATCTTCTTACAGATGGTGCCATACAGGGACTCTAAAGTCACACATCTGTTTAAAAACTACTTTGACGGAGAAGGAAAAGTCAGGATGATTGTGTGCGTCAACCCAAAGGCCGACGACTATGAAGAAACTATGGTGAGAACTTGTATTTGTGTTGCTTCATCGGAAAGGAAATAAATGTTCTTTTCCTTTTACAATGCTGAACTATCAGGGACACCGTTTGCTTGTTTCGAATTAGACAAAATGGTTCGATGTAAAGTCCATTGGTTTAGAGTTGGGCCGTATATTTCCTCCAAGACCCCAGCAGACATCAGGGAGGGTGTTTCTAACGGCAGTCTGGTGTGTGTGTGTGTCTGTGCTGCAGCTGGTAATGCGATTTGCGGAGATGACCCAGGAGGTGGAGGTGGCGCGGCCCATTGACCGGCCGATCTACGGCCTGGCTGCAGGTCGCAGACACCGAGCCCGGGCCTTCAAGGACGAGCTGTCGCAGCGTCTGGAAGAGCGAGGCCGTCCAAGCAGTGCCGGTAAATCGCCCTCCCCCGCGCCACCTGTGCTCTTATTGCACGCTCACATGTCAGATTTCAAGAATGTAACGCAACTCTTTCCTCTCCCAGTAGACGACCCGGCTCTCATGAATCAGCTGGTGGAAAGCCTTCCGGCTCTGCCTCACTTTGAGCTGCTGGACCCGGCCGACGATCAGTCGCTGCCTCGCCTCATCGAGATCCTGGAACGGAGGCTTCGTGTCCGTCAGATGATGTCGGAGCAATTCGACAAAACCGGTATGGGTGCATATTCTGAACTACAAATAGTGGTTTATAATGGAGCCATTTTTGCAGGTAGCAGTGAATTAATTTATTTAGTTCAGCAAATGTACCTCCCATTTATTTAATCTGGTGATACTCAGTTTTTTTTCTTCACTTCTCCAGCCACTGAGTTTGTTGCGGCTGTATAACACCAATGTTCTTCCCCCAGCCACCACGCTGAGGTCTATGGTTCAGCAGTTTGACGGTCAGTTAAATGCGAAAGAGACGTTCCTCCAAGATCAACGGTGCAAACTGAGCGAGAAAGAAAAGATCATCATCAGCCAGAAGACGGAGCTGGAACGATTAGAGAAAAAATCCAAGACGCTGGAATACAAGGTGACAAACCTCCTTTTGGTCTGCGACCTCTCAGGCGTGTTCATAAAAAGCAAGGAGGTGTGAATCCCCTCGTTGTATGAGGAGCTCGTACTTACGGCTGTGACTGCCCGTCCTCCTCAGGTGGACATCCTGCAGAAGACCACGGACATGTACGAGCAGGACAAGCGATCGCTTCGGAACGAGCTAGAGACGCGAGAGCAGCGGCTGCAGAGGGAGCAGGCGGAGAGGAGGCGCATGGAGCAGCGCATGCAGGGCATGGTGACCGACACCAAGCACAAGTGGGAGAAGGAGTGTGTAAGTGGCCCTACTTTCTGCTGTGCTTCGCACATTAAGGGAACAGTTTGGTATAAACTTACACACGTGGGGCTGCGTGTAAGTGTGATCTCATAACTTCTATAATCTTACAGAATGAATATATATTTAAATCAGGTCATTATATATTATGACAACAATAGAAGAAGAATAAATAACCCATTGTTTATTGTTCCTGACTTCCACTATATATTCTAAAAAATAATAACAAGCTCTGGCTCTGTGAGAAATAACATTTTTTTCTTTGTGGCTGGTAAAAATATATATTTTTTCAACTTATTGCTCATTTAAAAACAGGCAGTTTTGACATCCGGGATCGGATGATGAGTTCTGTCGTTTTCTATTTAGGAGAGAAGAGTGAACGCCAAGCAGCTGGAGATGCAAAACAAGTTGTGGGTGAAGGATGAAAAGCTGAAGCAGCTGAAGGCCATCGTGTCGGAGAGCAGCAGCGGAGCAGGAGGAGGAGCAGCAGCAGCAGCAGGAGGAGGAGGAGGAGGTTTCCCCCCCGAGCGTCCAGACAAACCCGAGAGGCCTTCGAGGGAGAGAGATCACAACACGGGGAGGTCCGCCTCGCCGTCACCGCTTCACGTGAGTCATTGTAGCACCGCGTGTTCCATCGGCGTCCCCTCGTCAATCGCTGATCTGATCCGGACGTTTTGCATGATGATGAAATGTGAACGTGCTTCCTGTACACGGCGGCGTCTGTTCTGTATCACCCTGTTGTGTTTGTGTTCTTCCGGAGCTCCTAACACCCACAATGCTTGGCCCCGTTTCCTCGTCACGTTTCAGGAACTCAACCACACTCCCTCCCACCGAACCCGGGGTAATGTTAGGGCCGATCAGGACGCTCACCCAGACACCTCTTCCTCCTCCTCCACCACCTCCTCAGCTTATCCCTCGGTAGCCTCGTGCATCTCTGATTGGGAGCACAGGTTCCCCGTAACCGCGGCCAGCCACGCTATGCACTCTGGGACTCCCCCGTGCACGAGCCGGACGCCGGCCGCGTGCCGCGGTGCCAGCAGCGTGGGGCGCAGGAGAGGCCACCGCTGGGCCGCGGAGACCGAGGCCGCCGCGCCGACCGTCTATGGGCTAGACCTTGAGCCAGGCACAAGGGTCAGTGTGTGTGTGTGTGTTTGTTATGGAGTCTCAGTGACACCTGCTCCCGTGTCGGTAGATGTCCGCATGTGTAGAAATGCATCAAGTAGAAGCGCTGCATCGGGGCGGGACTATTTCTGTTGCTAGCTGCTTTCTGCAGTAGCCGTAGTTTTTGTCTCGTACTGCGTCGTCCTCGCCACTCGAACGCATTCAGTAGCAGCACGTGAAATGACAGACTATCGGCGCCAAAAGGAAGCGTGCATTCGCTGGCATGTGGGAGTGTCGCACATTTTAAGAGACTGATGCAAAAGCTGCATGTTTACTTATCAGATATTCATAGACCTTAGATCAGAGATGAGTACGGGGGAGAAACAACCTTTAATTGCGAAGTAAAGTGGAAGGAAACGGCCATGAAGTCTGATCATTTGGCTGACTGACAACCATGAAATCTTCCTTCCAAAATGAGTAAATCGTATCCTTTGACCTGCTCTGTATGTGGGGACCAAACGGAACGCATTCACTTTCAGACTGACCGTCCACATGTTTTCATGTGGACAGTAACGTTTTGTTTGCATGTAGTCCTCATTTCTTCACCCATTTCCTCACTTTGCATGCTGACTGCTATTCACTCTACTGGGCCGCCTTCAATGCAATGTGCGCTTTTACTTGATGAAAATGTGTATTGCTGGAAGGCCAGATTACTGTTGTGAGTGAAGAATCTACATGAGTCTATATGCTCGACACTTGTGTCCCCGGAAATTATGAAAGACCTCCGTGGCGGGATATCCCCCGTCCCTCTCGGGCTTCCAGCAGTACGCATGTTTTCACCACAAGCCAATGCTGTCTCTGCTAAACCCCCGGCGACCTTGAAATGATCCCCGGCGGTGTCACGTGTGAATAACTTCCTGGTTTTGTCTCTCACGCTGGGATCGGCAGGCGGCCGCTCCGGTCCGCCCGACGCACCGGCGCTCTCACTCTGCGGGTGGGGAGAAATGGGTAGACCACAAACCACCTTCTAATTTGGACCTAGACACGATCTTGCAGCCAATCTTGCCCAATGCAATCAGGGTGTCGACCCCGAATGAGAAAGCTCTGTCCAAATGCCACAAGTATGTGCTGAGACATCAAGAGCTTGCCTCAGACGGGGAGATCGAGACCAAGTTGATCAAGGTAAAAAGTAATTGATTCATTTGATTAGTTGCATGAGTTTGATTTAATCACGTTCTGTTTAATTACATGGTGACTATTTTATATTTTGCTGTACAACGGCTACTTCTTTTTTTTTTTTTTTTTTTTTTTGACAATGTTTTTTTTCTCCTCCCGGACGTTTTGAGAGTTTCTTTTTTTCCTCTTTTTTTTTTTCTTTCTTCTCTAGGGCAACGTTTTTAAGACGAGAGGCGGAGGACAGGCGGTGCAGTTCACTGACACAGAGACGCTAAAACAAGAGTGGCCATTAGCATCAAGGTACGTGTTTAGCAGAGTACTACACTGAAATATTATGAACGGATAACAGCTGTTCTACCGACAGCAACATGCCAAACCGGAGCTCTAATTTGGAAGGTTCATGTCATTTCAGGCCCAATCATATCTAAAAACATGGAGTTAAAATGAACATTTCCCTTTTTACACATTTAATCAAACGTCAATCTAAAACCAAAAAATGTATGAATCACTGCTGCTACTCGGTGGGTAACCATCACTACGTTCATGTTCGCAGGGCGAGACTAATTCATCTGGCCTTTATCTCATGAAACACATTACAACAATTATATAATATCTTGTTCTTTTCAAATGTCATAACTTTATGTTTTTGCTTTCAGTCGCAAGCGGCGTTCAGGCTCTGGAGAAGGAGCCTCACAGATGGAGGACATAGAAAACAGGGTAAGCGTCTGTTTGGTTAAATAACCTTTGACCCCGGGGCCTTCTGGTCATTTAGTGTGTTACTTAACACACACACACATACATATACTAATATAATATTTTACACGACCTATCCGTGTGTCGAGGCTTCAACCAGTTGTATCTCAATTACATTTTTTTTGTCTCCATATTCCTATTTCACGTGTTCACCTTTTACAACCCCCTCTTCCCCCACCCAGGCTCCAGTTGCAAGCACAAGCTCAGGCTTTGGATATCAAAAGTAAGTGTGTGTGTGTGTGTGTGTGTGTGTGTGTGTATTTTTTAATATGTTAAATAAAACTCTGCTGCAGGATTGGAATTAATAATGAGGTTTTTTTTAAAGCCTTTTAGAAGTAAAATAGTCGACTGCCATGTGTGTTTTTGTCTGCTCGTGTATTAATATTTTGTAGCCTTCGATATAAAACCGTGTTCATTGAGGTGTTGTACTTTTTCTTCCAGACGCAGGAAGCCTTATTAAGCCGTCGGGCAGATGAAGAGACTTTGTCCTTGAACAGCAAACGCACCGCAGTGAAACTATGCAGCTGAGGCTTTTTGATTAGGAGTAATTCTACTTTGATCATAGCCTTTAGAATGTGTCAATGGTAGGTGTGATTTGTGGCATTAATGTGTTTTTTTTTTTTTTTTTTTTAATGCTGAGCCTCTTACGGATGGGCACATTCAGTTGCCAAATATGAATATGTCATGATTCATTTAATGCTTTTTGATTGATCTTTCGCTTCCTTTCTACCGTTACCCAAAGAAAATAAGATTTGAGCTTCTGAACAACAGACCATTTTTATTTTTTATTTATATGGTCATTGCTTGCCTTTTTTGGTTTTGTTTTTCATTTATTGGATGTTAAAATTTATATACAACTGACAACAAAAAATAGAGCTGATTTAAGCAGTTGTTTTAGGATGCCCTTGTCACCTGTACATATAAAGCTGTTAAGTAGATTTTTGCTAAAAATCAATCTTGGACTGACTGTAAATATATTATGAAGTTTTTTACTTCTGTTTATTGAAACAGCTCTTCCTGAGACGTGTAACATGCTCTTTTTGTTGGCATTAAATGTATTCCAACCCGACCTGTTTCAACTAATGAAGGCTGCCTGGTTTTAAGGCATTTGGCATTTCCCTTTCTTTAATTTTCCCTGAATATATTTTCTGTTCTGATTCATTCAGGTCTTCACATTTATACCGTCAATCATTGGGAATATATATTTTTTTTCTTTGCCCTTTCTGACAGAAATAAGTCATTTGCACCACAATGTCTCTTTAAGCAGTCTCATTCCTTAGTTGATTTGTTGGGTTTTAGCAGCTTTTGTTGTTAATCTTTTGTTAAAAGGAGTAGTAAGATGTGTAAGCAATCCCATTTATTTAGCGTGAAGCAAAAGTTGTAGTTCATAATGTGACCAGCAGGTGGAAGTAGAGCTTCAGATACCTTATTCAGATCTGAGCCATCAGGATGTCAATTCTTGATCTATTTGGTTTCACCTAAAAAGTTCTTTTCAGAGTTACTTTCCAGCCCTGAAGCGGCCCGATGAGTTTAAGCTTGTGAGTCACCCAGTAGCAGCTGGTCGTCTTCCCAGGATGCCGTGCTGCATCATCGATACTGTTTTGCAGCGAGAGGGCCGGGCAACCGGGACGACGAGTTCACCGATTGGCTGAATTCTTTGGTCGTACAAGCTGCTTTGATAATTTCATGGCGGGGCTAAAATCTCAGGTCAAATAAGAGTAATTTCCTGTGTTGATCTGTTCTGTCTCCGAGCTTCACTGTGAACATGTTGACCCCTCTGTAAGCTGTGCCTATGGAGACTATTACTTCAGGACTACGGTTGCCATGGTGAGACCCCCCCCCCCACCACCAAAGTGTGACACTTCCTGACCGTGGAAGTGGATTTGTACGAGTATGAACAGTTAATAAACAGATTCCCGTTGGAAACGGCGACAGAGTGAAACTCCTGCAATATCACACTTCATTACTAGCAAACTGATTGCAGCAAATACTTGAGTATAAAGATATATTATAGTCTTTATACAACCACATGGCCGTCATGGTTGTTTTGCTGCTGGTGGACAAAATAAATCTTTTGGAGCCAATTCACAGGCTGCTGTTTATTTGAATGAGAACATCGTTCTCGCACAGAGGAGTTCCACGATACCTGTGATGCAAGAGCACACTGCACGATTCTGCTGTTTGCTTTGCTATCGTAGCAACACACTATCGTAGAAGCTCATTGCTGCTCTTTGCTTTCTCATTTCTGACTCATAGTGTTATATTTCTGCATTGCGTGTCTTGTGTCCCGCTGGTTCCTGTAGCAACATGCAAAGATCTCTGGTCTCTGAATCTTGGCTCGTCGATCGTTGCGCTTTGGCTTCGTCTCCAATCAAGCCGGAGGTGAGCTTAAACTGTCTCACTCTATTGTGTGGAGCCGATGAGGGCCGTTCAGACGGGGCCTTTTTCTATTATCTTTGGTGTAGATATGAACATCTGTAGATGGAGCCACTTTGTTTGATATCGTTATCTGTCGCCAGTTGCATGTGTTTTTTTTCTAAACAAATGCCGTGTTTTGCACCATAATAATAAAAAAAAAGCCATCATGACGAACCGCCATGTTTTAAGTGACCCTCTCGTCCACCATTGTCTTGACGATGCAAGATAGCCTGCTCTACAACCCCCCCCTTCACCTCCCTCCTGCGTCTCCTCCCGAGTCAACAGGCGGTGTTTGTACAGCCTTCTGTGTGTACGTGAGTAAACAATGGAGGTTTGGAGCTGCTCTACGTTCCCTTGTCTCCCATTTAATTTCCAGGTTGAACCTCCGTGGTCCAGATCTCTTGCATTAGACCATATCTCGTCAAGTGAAAGTCAACAGAGTTTTATCACATTTGTGATGGTAAAACAAACGTGTAGCAACTGTAAAAAATGCAATGGCCCAAGATGGGCTTCATGCAATAGGATGTGTTCCAGGAATGACATTTCTTTCATTGTTCAGCTTTTTGTTGTTGTTTGTGTTTTGGTGTGTGAAGTCTCGGCAAAGACTCCTTTTTGAAAAGCAAAGCGGATAAATAAAGGTTAAATGAAAAGGCGCCACGCTGGTAGTTAGGGTCAAAGGTCAGCTAAGGTTGTGCTTTTGGGTGAAACGATGAACATCTTGTGTCTCATGCTTTTGGCTTCATATCTTCATGAAGTGACCCTTTTTAAGGATGATGCAGGGAGGCCAAGTCTCTATCGATTAAAAACAACCATCACAGATGGTTGGAAGATGAGAATCGCATAAAACCATCTTTCAGATGCCTGACAAAGCCCCGTTTGTGTGTGACCAGTTGATGACAGACACATGTACTTATTGTGCTGCCAACATCCTGCATGCGGCCGGGGAAAATCCCATCGTATTTAGTTTTCCCAGTTTAAAAGTCAAAGGTGGGGCTTGTGTGCTCGGTAAAGCTGTAACATCCTCCACAGGTGATGGCTGCCGTTGAGCCTGTTTACCTGCCTTGCCTGTTGATCTTGCTAAAAGCCTCTCACACTCCCTCAACACACACACACACACACACACACACACTAAACATGTGTGTGTGTGTGTGCCCAGTTTAAACACACACATTAATAACGACTGTAATGCCGTTCTTTGTTCGAGTGCTTTTACAGGTTCAACATTGACCTTCGTGTTTAATCTTGCTGCACAAACGACCGTCACTTGATATGCACACAAATCTTTTGTCACTGTCGGCCGACTCCCACGTTCTTTGGAGAAGGGAACACAAGGACAAAGCTCAGACTGCTCTCTCTCCTGACATAATTAAAACACCGGACTCTTAAGCCAACACAAGTTATTGTCCGGGCTCGTATGGCGTCGTACGTCCATAAAGGGTCAAATTCAAGTTTATTTTAATATCATCGACATGTATTTGATCAAACTTAATTAATATTTGAACACAGGCTGCTTCCTTAGTTCAGAATGATGTCGTTCTTTTGTGTTTTTCCATGTCTAAAGACAAATAATTCATCATGTACTTATGAGGAGATATGAGTACACAAGAGACAAAGACAATGCATGCGTGCGTCCGTCCACACCCTCCACTTTGTCCTCCGCCGCCGCAAGATGTCACTGTGGTCCATTCATTCTTGTATTTCCCTTTGCATCCCCCCTCCTCCACACTGTTGACTCCCCCTCCCCTCCAATAGGAAACAGATGGGAGACCTTTGCTGCGGGCTACTGCCAAATGGAGCAAATTCTCATTACAGCGTCTGCAAGCTCTGTTTATTCTCTCCATGCTTCACCTCCACCCCCTGCACCACTTTGCCATCTGATGTGTTGAACACTTGCCTCCGATGCAGGCGTGTTATTTTGATGTGCCTCGTTTTGCTGATAAGATATTTATCATCATTTTTCCTTTAGGGCTGCTCACAGTCATCTGCTTCCTTGCCATGTGAACTGTGTTAATGTTTAATGTTCATTAATGAGCCAAGTAGCAATCAATGCATCGCTCCGATCACGTGTTTGTAAGTTGAACCTGTGGGTCCCAACGTCGGGGTCCTGGACCCCTTGAAGGAAGGGGGGGGGGGGTTGATTTCCCAGGTAGGAAATGAGAAAATGCTGCACTCGTCTGCACAAAGTTATTTGAATTTCTACGTCTTTTTGTAAAATACTGTAGTTTTATCCTGTCGGACCATAAGGTGAGTAAAAGTTATTAAATGAGAAAAACTGGAGATTCATGGTTTTCACTCGACAGCGATGAGTTGGTTAAATCTTGGAGTTTGTGGGAGAGAATGACTGCTGATAAAACACACTGTAAGTGTTTAATAGTAATAATAAACACAGCATCATAAGCATCCTGTATTGAGATACAACGTTAGGTTGAAGGTGATACATTTAAGCCGTCGTTAGCGACTATTTTACATCTCGGCCTCACTTCTGGCCTCACGGACACATCCCCAGCTCTGGGAGACACTTGCAATGGAATATAAATGACATCATTATGTAATATTCAATCTGTTGCAGCAGCAATATCCTATTCAACAGATCGGCCCTTTTTCCCCACCCGCCCTGCGTGCTCCTCTTCTTCTTCTTCTTCTTCTTCACGGAGAATATTAAAGAGTTATTAAATTAATCTGTGCTCGCTGGCGCATGTTATTGCAGTGCAGAGTTTTGTGGGGCGAATGGAGCAGTCAGGCCGCACCTTTAAGCTGATTTATTAACGCTGCAAGGGAATCACCAAATAGACCTGATGACCTGTTTTATTTTGCACAAGCGAACACCTTCCCCCAAATCCGCTTATGTCGTCAACCCTCTCATTTTTTAAATGTGTCTAAATACAGGTCTGGTTATTTTTTTGATTCTATTGTGCAGCGCTATTGTCGCGGTTTCTTTGTCAATGCAAAAATACAAAAAACAAGTCATGCTTGTGGAAAATATTTCATATATTTCACGTGTTATTGCTGATGTATTTTATCTCATCTGTTCTTTGGCTTTGCTCTCGTAATGAACGTTTTTCATTTGTCATGTCTGGTGGAGCGCAGTGATCGGCTTTACTTTTATTAAAACGTACCGCGCAGGCGGCGATGAAATACGAGGTGTCGGCCGCTCTCTTCTATCTCTTTCACGCCGCGTTCCCACATCAGTCTCTCACCGCTCGCATCGGCCGCACCCTTGGATATTCCAGCGTGCGCGAGCTACAACAAAGCCCGCCAAAAATACTAGCGCACGTGGTGGAATGTTTAGTCACTCTTAATGAACCGTACACACGTTTCACACGGGTGGTGTGTTCTTATTTTTTTTTTTTTGCGTTCCCACGTTTTTATTCACTTGCGGCTCGGTGAACGAGGAGAATACAAACATCTGGAGGGTTGGGGATGGAGCTCTTAACATCTCACCACCCATCAGGTGCGTGAGATGTGTGCAGACTTATCTCCCATTGATTCCTAACCTCATTTATCAGAGTTTATGCCACCAGTGTAAACATTTAATCCAGCGTGAGATTTTTTTGGGTTCCTTTGGGTCAACAGTTTAGCGGTTGCATTTTTTTTTTTTCAAGCCTCGAGACAAAGTCTGCTTTCAATTATTTTTTCGCAAAATTGCTTTAAAGGGTCCACGCATGATTAAATATTCATTATGTTAAACT